TTTCCCTCTTTCAATATTGCGAAACGACACTGTTGGCAGGACAAGTTGTGAATTCAGCTTGAAAGGCCAAAGTGTTTTAAATCCGGGTAACAGGTTGGCTTGGGGACAGTCCCGCCGAAAGCTGCGGGTCTGCTTGGATTGTTTGGGTCGAATCCGGACAACATTTGCCATGGGCCCCTACGACTGGGAGACATCGCCCAACCAGCGCAGACTTTGTAGTTGCCACAGCGCTGAAGCACCCCGAGAAGCCTACCAACTCAAAGAAAAGAGAAGGTGACCAATGAGTGATCCTCTTGGTCCCGCTGGCAAGCCAAGCCAACCCGAGCCCACACCCCAGAGGGGAAGAACTCCGACTCCAGCCGACTCGCTGAGGAGAACTGGGTCCACTTCGGGTGGCTCCGTGCGAAGACCGCCTGTGAGTTTCTGCTGGTGAACGTGGAGGTCTTCCAAGCCGTGGCCATGAAGTCTCCGAGCCCCTACCTAGGCCGGCTGGTGGTGCGAGTTTTTTCGGACACCCCGGGAACACCGAAAGGGGGGGTTTCGCCATGGGCACGGACAAGGGAGCGCCTCTCACAACGGGCATGACCCGACCAAATCACAGCCTTGGGGCATGTGGATGCCGCACAAGCCTAGGGGTTCACCGGGGCTCTTGTGGCTGGACCATCCCTGGTGTTCTGAGGCCTTAAAAGGAGCACCACAAAGGGCAATCAGTCAGACAGGAAGTGCCAGATTTGGAGGGGGGCAATTGCCCTGCTTCCCCCCTGTCATTTTGTGAGGGCATGGAGTTGCTCCAAATCATTGATCAGTTTGCGGGGCGGGAGCGACAGCCTCGGTTTGCCAGGAAGCACCATCTACAAGCAGGACACTTGGCTTGAATGTGGTGCCTGACACTTTGCGGCCTTTGGATGCAATTCCGCAAGTTGTGTTTCAACGTTTACCAAGAAGAACGCAAACACATTTCGAGCAAGGGGAGTTTCGAGGCTCGTTTCGAGTCTCGAGTTTTGAGTTTCGATTCGCGTCTCGAGTTTCAAGTTCCGAGCACGACTGCCGGGCCAACGGCCCGTTGTCGAGTTTGATCTCCAGGATTCAGCTATGAGCCATGGTTGCCCTAACTTCAAGAAGAGAGGGGGGAATGTGACTCAAAAGATTGGCATGCTGTTGCGCAGGGCTGCAGGGCGCTGTAGGGAGCTCCTGTTCGCAAATTGTGGTGCGGGGTTTGGTGTGCAGGGTGCTGTTGCGAGGGTAGGACGGTATTGGCGCAAAGAGATGTGTGTTTCTGTTTGTCTTGTATGCGAGCCTTCACGTTTGTCACTGACCTGCTTTTCAGATTTTGTGACTCCAAAGTGGATTTCTGCTGCTGTGGGTCTTTGCAGACGTATGTGTTTCTTTCCATAGGCGCCTGTTCACGTGTCTCATCTGGAAGTTTTGGTTGGGATATAAAGTGAAACCAAAAGGACACCGACCATTTCCGGGGACCGATCCCTATTTTAAGAAGCACTCTCTGTTCAAGGCGTGGGTCAAGAGGATCAAGGAGGACGTCCGGAAGCAGGAGGACGGCGTGACGCGACTCCTCCTAGGTCGGCCTTCAGATCTTTCGGGTGATCGTCAGATTGCGGAGCGGCCCGGCTTTGGGGGGGGGTGGGGGGTGCGGGGGCAGAAGTCAGAATCTGACAATGCAAAGTGAGAAGATGGGGGAATAGGTGCAGAGGCTTGCTTTCCGCCCTGCTGCACTTGCTTTTGGGACTCTATAAAAGTCCACCCCCAGGGGGTCCTGGGCCACTTTAGGATAGCAATCCAAGATGCCGTGCCATGAAACGCTTCCGGGGAATTGGGCCACTCGCCGAGGCATATAGCTGCAGTGCCTTGCCTGCAATGATGATGGTCCCTTCGAGTGATTCGTAAACTTAGGGGCCCCATTTTGATGTTGATTGGATTTTAATGAACACGCAATGTGTTTGAGTTAGAAACCTTTTTTTTTACAATGCTTGGCTTAGGATGCGTTCCCTGACTTGGCCAAGAAGTACGATCGCCTGCTACATCCATCCCTCGCACCCTTCCGGAGTTTCTCCTCCAGCCGCACCGCCGTGGCAGGATGATGCGCCGCGCAGACCGGCTTCGCCGCTTGGATGTCACCGGCCCGGAGGCCCTTTTGTGCGGCATGGAAAGTTTCACCGTGCATTGCCGCACGCGCGAAAGCGGCCGCGCTTCAATTTAACCCCTAGTCACAACGAGCCCTGAGAGAGGCCATTGCGAGGGCGTACGCCTTCGAACAATTCCCCGGCGCCCAAGGTGCCCGCGGAAACGTGGAACCAGCGAAAAAGCCGCGCCGGGAGAGACTTAGACCGTATTCCATTTAGTTTGGTCATTGTTTCTTCTTCCCCAAAGAAGTAGCTCAAAGCATTGGGCTGGTCTTTTTGTTTTCGTCTCTGCTTGTGCTATCCTCGCCGCTTTCCTGCCGAGCCCTCTATTAAATTCGCAGTTCGCTTTCGAGACGCGCGAGGCCTTGGTCATTCTGGAAACCTCGCAGCGTGTCTCGGCCGAAACAGCCGAGACCTGGGATTGTCCTTGGGCTTTTTTTATCGAGGAACATCCAAATTTGCTGGGTGTGGCTCGGAAATTAAACGGCTGGGGCAAACCGCAGGGTTCAGTCTTAGTTTCCCTTTTTCCGGTGCCATTTGGGGGCTTCATTTTTTGGATCCTGGCCCAACACCCATGTCGGATCTTTGGGATACGCCCCGTCGCCTAAAGCGCGTGAAAAGGAAGAACCGAGGCCTGGATTCCATGTTCCGTAACACTAACACTAACACGGACACTAGCTAGCACACACACACACACCTCGATGTGTCAAGGGGAAACCAAACCTTTGGGTTTTGCATTTGGATCCCCTTTATCCCAACAGGAATTCAATCGACATACAACATCAAAGCAACAGGAATGACACTCACATAAAGTCAAACTAACTTCAAACCAAGAGGAACCAAAAGAGTACAACTTGTCGGTCAGTAAATGACCTTCCGGGCGTTGGGAATGAACCGGAAGGGGATTCCCTGAAAGAAAGCGAGCTGAAGGGATTCCAGTGACCCAAGGCAACCTTTGATTAGGGGAGGGAGGTCTTCAGTAAAGTTCCGCTGGGTAGCAGTTTCCCAATAAAAGGTTGCCGCAACTTGCAGTAGGACATGACCTTCAGGGCGTTGGGAATGAACCGGAAGGGGATTCCCTGAGAGAATGCCAGTTGGATGGTTTATCTCGGGGTTCCACTTCTCATTCCCCTCAGACGCCCGGCTGGCGGACTCCGTGTCCTTCGCCACCGCGATGAGCGCCTGCGCCCAAAGCCCGGGCCTCCGACGCGGTCGAAGTCGGTGTCTTTTTTTCGGCTGGGGTGTCTGTTTCTAGGATTTGGATCCCCCCAACATATCCAACATGGGGTGTTTGTCTCTTGGTTTTCATTTGAAGCCACAAGAAAGGGGCACCCTCAGCAAAACAACATTTGGGCCATTTGCTGTGGTTCTAGATTCTACCCTCTGATGGGGATTGCAGCAACAGATAACTATATATAAGCCTTTGCAAACAGTGACCTGAGTCAGGAACCTGTTTAACAGGTTCTAAGAGTCTGGTTCCGATCGCTTGAGCCAAAGGACAATAATGTGTGCATTTGTTAGAACTGATTTCGGGCCACCCAAGACAGGTCAAAGTATCCTGTTCAAACTCAACCCGGAACCCTCCCTTGGTTACAAGGCGGGTCTTCTTTGTAGCGGTTTCTCAACACGGATGCCAGTAGCTCTGAAAGGCTTGTTTACTTTGCCAGCAGGGTGTAGATCAATCAAAGTGGGTCCAAATGGATATGCGACCCCTGAAATGAGCTTTTGGCTTCCATTGCAATCTACCCCAAAACAAGTCGCTTGAAACAGAAACAACCAAGCATAGAACGGTTTCACTTCATCTGTGTGCAGGGGCTGATGCTGCGGGTCTCTGGAGGCTTCCACTGTACACTCTCCGCACTGCACATTTGAGCATTGGATTCCTCCATTCCTCTGCTCGTCCCTTGACTCAACTTGCCTTAAGTGGTTTCAACAGCATGGGAGTCAAACAATCGGTCAGGCCACCAAACAGCTTGAGGATGCTGGAAACTTGACAAATGTCGGGTCTGCCGCAAAAAACGCGTGCCAGGCGCGCAGTGGCAGGCTACGCTGATGCTGCTGGAGGTGCTGCAAAAGGAGTCTGGAACGCTGGCGTCCACAGAGGGATTTGTGGCTTTTAAGTGGTTTTCCATGCTGTGGACGGACAAAATCCTGCACCGCTTTGAAACCATGGAAACCATTGTCTGTTGGTATTTACGGGGAAATCTTCATGCTTAGGTGGTGCAGGATTTCGTCCATCCAGAGTCTTCGCGCCTGAGTGACATGGATCTTTGTAGAGGAATCTCCAGAACGGGGACCCCATCTTTGGGTTTGTCAATTCGCAGGGCAAACCTATGCTGCTCAGTGTTTTTGTTTATTGCTGTTCGTCCGCCGCATCAATTGACTCAAATCCGCAAATGTTGCCTTGCAGTCCGGAGCCTTCGCATCCTCCATCACAGGAAAGCCATGTAAAGTGGGCTCCGGATGCGGCTACCTCCGTGTTCGGGGCTTGTCGGAGCTAGGCCACCCCTCGTGGCCTTCAACGCGGCCCTGAGTGCCTGCGGCTCCTGGGCGCCTGGGCAATTCAGCTCGAGGGGTCTCAGGAAGTGTTTTTTTTCCGCCACGGTTTAAGCCATGGTCGAAATCCAGGGAGGTTGATTGAAACCAAAGATCTCCCCAAGACGACTTTTCACTTGCGTTAAGAGTTTTCGTCCAGCCAACCGTTGAGGGAGGTTAAAATAATTTATTTTGTGATTTGGGAGTGAGGGTTGGAGCAAGAAAATAGCAATCTGAAAATTAAGAGCAAACTGAAAAGCAAGAAAAAAGTGATTCACTTGCAACAGTTGACACAAAAAAGCAAGAAAATAGTGATTAGATGGTCATCAAATAGTGATTTGGGCACCTCAAAATAGCAAGGATCCAAATAGGGATTATATGGGAGATCACTATTTTGGCGACAACCCTCAAAACCCGAAATCTGCAAATCACAACGGGAGATCACTATTTTCTTGCTTTTTTGGAGTGGGAAATCACTATTTTCTTGTTTTTTTTGGAGGCGACGACCCTCGAAACCAGCAAATCTGCAAATCACAGCGGGAGATCACTATTTTCTTGCTTTTTTGGAGTGGGAAATCCCTATTTTCTTGATTTTTTTTGGAGGCGACGACCCTCGAAACCCGGAAATCTGCAAATCACAACGGGAGATCACTATTTTCTTGCTTTTTTGGAGTGGGAAATCACTATTTTCTTGTTTTTTTTGGAGGCGACGACCCTCGAAACCCGAAAATCTGCAAATCACAACGGGAGATCACTATTTTCTTGCTTTTTTGGAGTGGGAAATCACTTTTTCCTTGCTTTTTGGGCAGGCGATGACCCTCGAAACCCGAAAATCTGCAAATCACAGCGGGAGATCACTATTTTCTTGCTTTTTTGGATGTTGTCGCCTGCAAAAAAAACACAAGAAAATAGGGATTTCCCATTCCAAAAAAGCAAGAAAATAGTGATCTCCCGTTGTGATTTGCAGATTTCCGGGTTTCGAGGGTCATCGCCTGCCCAAAAAGCAAGGAACAAGTGATTTCCCACTCCAAAAAAGCAAGAAAATAGTGATCTCCCGCTTTGATTTGCAGATTTTCGGGTTTCGAGGGTCATCGCCTGCCCAAAAAGCAAGGAACAAGTGATTTCCCACTCCAAAAAAGCAAGAAAATAGTGATCTCCCGTTGTGATTTGCAGATTTTCGGGTTTCGAGGGTCGTCGCCTCCAAAAAAAAACAAGAAAATAGTGATTTCCCACTCCAAAAAAGCAAGAAAATAGTGATCTCCCGTTGTGATTTGCAGATTTCCGGGTTTCGAGGGTCGTCGCCTCCAAAAAAAATCAAGAAAATAGGGATTTCCCACTCCAAAAAAGCAAGAAAATAGTGATCTCCCGCTGTGATTTGCAGATTTGCTGGTTTCGAGGGTTGATCACAATTTTCTTGCTTTTTGTTTCACAATTGTCTTGCTATTTTCTTGCTATTTCTGGTCTCTTGTTTGCTGCATTCTTGCTTTTTTAGTGCCCACTGTTTGCTCTAAAATCACTTTTTCCTTGCTTTTTTTTCCCACCCGAAACTTGGGATCACTATTTTCTTGCTCTGTTGCTTGCTCTACATCTCACAAAAAAATTAAAACAGCATTTTCCAATGGTTGGCTGGTTTCGCAAGTCTTAACACTTGCGAAAAGGGCGATCGCCCCTTATCGCAGAACGTGGGCTTCAGAGAGGTGATGCGTGGACCTCGGCCTAGGCCCATGGCCTGGCCATCTTCGAGCGTGTGCTGCAGCTGTCCGCCCTGCCGGAGGCTTTTGCGGTGACGGGGCCAACGTGCGCCGGAGCGTTGGTTTGGGGTAGTTGCGAGAAAAGAGCGGTGAGCGCGGAAAGGGTCCTTCGTACGTGTTCCTGACTGGAGAGTCATGTTTGAGCGTCTGCGCAGATTGGGGTGACTTCCGGCATCGGGTCACGGTGAAGTCCTGCCATTACGCTCTGGACCGTGGAGTCCTATAGTCCTGCGAGCGTATGTGCAAAATGCGGGGAAGGCGAAGCGTTCTGGCTTCGAATGTACAGAACCTTGTTTGGGACAGCGTGGAAAGCAAGAATTGTTGTGGCAAAAATGGGAAAACGGGGTTCGCAGATCCCCTTGGATGGTCAAGTCGTTTCGCTTTGGATCGCAGGCGTTTGCCTTCCAGCAACTGGTTCAAAGCTGCAGCCGGTGCCTGAGTTGGATGCTTGGAAGCTGGAGTTGCATACTTGAGCCGATTTTTTTTTGGGATTTCGGCTCAGGTTTCTTCATGCCACAAGGACACCCTCAACTGGTCCCAGGGAAACCCAGGGCCCAACTCAGGGCCGCGAGGGTCGGGACTGAGACTGAAGGTTCCGCCGGGCGAGCGGCAGAGGCCGGAGCACGGGGAGGCTTCGGGCAAAAGGGACGCAAGAGAGAGGAAAACCACGAAGGCACAAGGGGAAAACCACAAGGAATTTCGAAACCGATTCATGGTCTCGCCCTCGGGTCTCGATCGCGAGGCCAGGTCTTTGCTCCAGCGGTTTCGCTCTGCGGCGCTCAGCAAATGGCCCAAAGAGTCGTGCGCAGGTGTGGTCAACCCCTTCCTCTTGCTGCAATAGCTTGAAATCCTCGACTTTTAGCCAACAGGAGTCCGAAAAGATGTGGCTAGATTTCCCCATATTTTTCCCTGCACTTCACTATGTTTCCCTACATGTCCCTATACTTGGGAAATGTGGAAGTCGATGGTGAATTGGGGGAGGGGAGTTTGCCAGTAGTTCTTCTGTCTTGGGGGGCGGCACTCATGTCGATTAGGGTAGTCGCATGTTTTTGTTGGGCTGTTGCTCATTTTTGGACTCTGGCTAGCTTGCAACTTGCACCGCAGTGTTCAATGTCCAAGGCAACAGCAAGATAGACATGAAGCGAAGATTCTTCGCTAAGAAGTGACTACAACAGATTGGAATGTAATTAGGTTGATGGGCAGGTAGTACATGGCAGGCGATGTTCAAGAAACGAGACCCCTGTAACATGGCTGTGTGTAAAGTTGGGGGGGGGGCTCCCACTTTCTCTAATGCCAACGGAGTCCCCTCCCCATGGATGGCGCACTTTGATGTCAAGAAATAGTTTTTTCCTTCAGGCATGAGCTGGAAAGGGGCGTCAACGCTCGCGTGAGATGGAGCCGCCGCCTGCGGGATGGGAAGCAGGCGTAACTCCTGCTGAGCTGCTCGGCGGAAGCTCCAGAAATGTCGCAAGAGCAGAGTTGAGGGGGCATTTCCTGGACAGTTTGGGGGTGGGAATTAGGTTGTGGGCTTTGGACCCCTCTGCGGGAAATGAACGGAACACCTGGAGAACCCAGCCCCAACGCGATGAACCCAAATAGCCCTCAACTACCAGCCCACAACCCTCAACCCCTGAAGTGACTTTGGGCTTTTCGTTTGGGGAGGTGCCAACCCTCTAGAATAAGTTGAAACCCCAAAAACCCCTCAAACCCCTCAAACCCCACCCACCCCCAAGACCCACCCCCAAGACCCACCCCCAAAACTCACAACTCCAAACCGAAATTCCTGGACTTCTCCCCCCCCGGTTCAGCCCCGAACGGCCGAATTCGGCCGAATTCGGGCGAGGCGGGACGCCCAGAGCCGAGCGCGGACGCTGCAGCTGGCGCTGCAGCGCCTCAGCCTGGCACGGCGCGAAGCGCTGGAGCTGCACCTCGCAGGTGTGGGCCTTTTGCCTGGGACGGATGGGTGGATGGGTGGGTGGGTGGGTGGGTGGGGGGTTGAGACAGCCCGGAAAGGCCCATGGGTGAAAGCTCCTGAGTTTCCTTTGGTCAAAAGGGAAGCTAGAATTGGTATCGTGCTCCCTCAAACTAAGTACACCTAAACCAAGGGGGATTCATTGTCTCTTTATTTTTTTTTGGGGGGGGGTGGGGTGGAAATTCCGCCTGGTTGAGGGGTGGCGAACCGGGTGAACCGGGCGCTTTTTGTGTTTGGCCCATCGGGTCTTTGGCCCAGGGGCCCATTGGCGGGAGGAGGGCGCCGACCTGCCGGCGGTGCGCCGCATCTTCGCGCCGCTGCTGGAGGCGCTGCTGGCGGAAGGACACGTGCAGGCCGGGTCGACCACAGCCAGCTTCAGCCCCCTATTGTATGGAAAAATGAAGACAGTTTAATACAGTAAACCTGCAACCTGGGGATCGAACTTAGCTCAATCAACCGTTTACTCCTTGCAGATTTTGCATGGAACACCAAATTGACACCACTTCTTAGAGAAATCTCCTTGGGGCAGTGCCGTTTTGGGTTGTCTGTATTTGATTTTCCCATTGGCTGGTAAGCTGGCAATAGTCAGCCAATGACTCTTACCTGGAGCCCCCTGCAGGGTTCGGGTGGAAACGCCCTTCTTCTTCTGGAAACTCCGCCTTTTTGTTCCGGCGCCGTTTGTCCTTGCGCTCCTATGCCCGCAGCATTGCACGAAGTGCACGTGGGGCCCCCGGAGCCGCGCGAAACCACGAATCAAGCAAGCGCATGAACCGCGAAGCCAATGAAACGCACGACTTGAATACACAAAACACACAAGAGAACGCTGGAAGCGCACGAACGCACGAAAATGACCCACGTGTGTAAAGCACGTGAAAGCCACGAAACCCACGAAAAAACGCACCAAACCGACAAAGCCCATGAAGGCACGAAATGCACGAAATGCACATGAAAGCGCAGGAACCACGCGAGGCAGGAGACGCGTGAAATGATCGCGAAGCGTTAAACACGCACGAAACGTGCGAAGCACGCGAGGGCGCAAAATCCACGAAACCTATTTGAATGCACAACATGCACATGAAAAAAAACACGAGGAAAACCACCCCCCCAAAAAAAACGCAGGAGCCGCGCGAAATGAACGAACTACAGTCAGGAAAGCTTGTGGGCATGGCAACGGCCCCATTCTCCAATCAAGAACACAAGCGACCGAGGAGCAACCCACAAGTGCAAGGAGATCCTTGCAGACATTACTTGATAAGATCAGCCACATGCCCCCAAACCCTGCTGTATGAGGCCTTTACACTGTACTCATGCCTCCCCTCTCCGCAAGGATTACGCATTTGTCCCTTTTCTCTTGCCCAACAGCTTCGCCAAGGGCCCCTGACAGGAGGATTCCCATAGGCACCATGACCACGGCTATGTTCCGAAACCAAGTTGGTCCCAGGAAACAGTTCCTGGGAACAGGCAGTTCCTGGGACCTGCAACCTCTAGTGTGTTGCTCATGGCAAGCGCGACAATTCCCAAGGCCCTCAATCTGGAGCAAAGCTTTCCAGGTACTAGCAACCCAGTAGTCTTCAGGTGGCTCCTTTAAAACTCTCGGATTCTGGGACTTCTCAGTTGTCATTTATACACCCCTCAAGGTGTACCCTTACTGGCATGGCTCCAAACTATAGCTGGGACCGTTTAGGGGCACATGAGGTGTGTTAAAAGCTCCTTCGCCATGGAATACCCACAAGACTCAAGGGATGGTAGTCCAGTCACCGAAGCCGCGCAAGGCTTGGTTTGGGTGGGTGGATGGGTGGGTGGGTGGGTGGGTGTGGGTGCCCTCATTCAAAACAGCAACCTGGAAGGCCAACTCAACAAACCACAGACATACTCTTTCTCCACCAGTCATGGAAGCTGACAGAGCGGCTTGGGAGGGTATATCTTCCTTTTTTCCATTGAGAGGGGTAAGTTGAAGCCCCCAACCCCCTCAAAACCCCACACCCCTCACTCGAGTTTCACCACACCAACCCACTGTTGTTTTGTGAGTAGCAGCACCCCCCCCAACAACAACAGTTTTCTTCCAATGTCCCAAATCCCAAGCACTCTTCAAAAAGCAGAAGTTGGGGGGTGCTGCTACCTGTTTTTACCATGCCCAAAAGTTCCAGGCACTGTGTTGATACGTTTCCGTTTTTTTTTTAGGGGTGGGGGGTGGGTTCCACCGGAGGTGCTACGCCTGGGCCTGGCGGGGCCCAGCTGTTTGGACTCCACGGAAAGTTTGGCGGCACGGGAGGAGGTGGCGACGTTGGAGGGGCCGAAGGGTCACTTGGCGGCGGTTTGGCTCACCAGATTTACCCGCCCACCCGTTTCACATGGAACCTGACGTTCGGGGGTTCCCCTTAAAGCTAACATGGAACCTGGCAGGGGGTTGCTGGAAGACCATTCTCCTGTTAAAGGGACCCCCCTCTCAGGTTCCATGTTAATTGGTGGGAGGGTAATCCTTTTAGTCATGCGAGTGGCGGAATCCGTTGGCACGGCTGACTCCTGGCTGTTCACCAGGCTTGGGCCGAGTTGGGATTTGGAGCCCAATGGATTTCGGGTCTTCCTTTTGGGCTTTCTTGAAACCAACCTTAAGGTAGCTTCTAAAAAATAACGCAGACTGATTTGGGTAGATTTGACTTACCTCAACTTTTTGGGGGAATGAGTTGATCGTTTTTTTCCCCCACAAGTCAGCCCAGGCTGCCTGCGGCTGGAGGTGAAGCACCGGAGGGGCTTCTACCATGAGGCCCGTTTGGGGGGGAGCGGCGGGGAGCGGCGGGGAGCGGTTTGTCATGGGAGGGTTGGAAGGTTTTGCAGGGAGGTTGGAGGTTTGGAGGATGCTCAGGGTCTGTTAACCACCTTCTTTTGGGTGTTGTTTTAGGGTTGGCAGGGTAGGATGATACGGGGATCCGCCATTGTTTGGGGGTGAGTTGGGGTGGCTGGGCGGGATTGAGGGATTTGCATGTTAGAAGGATTTTGTTGCTGAAAGCATGCGTATGAAATATATAAACATTATGTAGAAGGAGCCTGCGCACACATACACACACACACCATACATTTATCAAGTTATATTTGCACACACACACACACACACATTTGCATACACACCATAGACATCCACCCCAAGAAGGCCGCAACACTCGAAACATTTTACCTCGCAGGTGAGCTTCGGGTGGCCGGGCCCGGATTTGGTCTGCGCCTTTCAGCCGGGGTTCTGGGGCTACGGCACCTGGGCGGAGACGCTGCGGTTTTTGGCGCCGCGCCAGCTGCTGGCCACCAGCTACAACCGCGAGGCGCGGGAGAGGGGGGGGGGGGGGGAGGTGATCGGGGTGAGGCCCAATTTTTGTTGTTTTTTTGAGGGGGGGAGGGTGTCATTGCCCATTTGGAGACAGGAAGAGAGGAGGTCGGTGTTGTTGTCCAAACATTGGAGTCTGCGGTAAGACTTGGGAGTTCGGAACTTATGGGAGACATCACTAGTTTCCAAAAAAACACAGGGACCTAGGGGAAAGTCACGGGGGTGAAATCATATCTTGCTTTGTGGGTGTAAAATAGGACACGGAACCTGAGAATGACCTCTTTGGTTCCTTTCCGTTCTCCTTTTTGTGTAGTTCTTGGGGTTGTATAAAGGATGCCAGCAACACGGATGGGATGACTTGCGCAACTCAAGCAGCAGCGAGCCGCGCGCAGTGCTGCATGTCGAAAGCTCAAGTTCAAAGGCACTGGTTGTTCGCCCCAAACCACAAGCCTAGGGCAAGTCTTGAACAAGACAAGCTTTGGGTGCCGGGGCGCCACCATCTTGTGAGCTTGGTGGCGTGCGCCGCCACATCTGGGAGAATCTCGTGACTGAAGGGGGGGCGGCACCCAGGTTGCTCATGTGCATGAAGTTATTTCAGAAGTACTGTGGATGGACGAAATCCTGCACCACCTAAGAAAGCCTGGTTTCTGACGGTTCCCCTGTAAATACCCAACAAACGGTGGTTTCCCATGGTTTCAAAGTGGTGCGAACTGGATTTCGCAACCATCCACAGTATGGTTGGTTCCTTTTCAGACAGCGCGGCCGCACCCGCCGGAGCCGGGGGCAAAAAGGGGATCGATCTCAGGAGGCCGAGCTCGAGCAAGACGCCATCCAGGAGTCGATCGTGGACGCAAGCTCCTTGCGTTTCGTTCCGGAAAACGGCGTCACGGGTCTTAGGGTTACCAGAAGCTTGCAAGAGTTGTTGGCATGGATTGGAACCTCCAAATTGCTTCTCCCTTCCTTGCAAACTGTTGGCTTTTGCGGTGATTCTTGTGGCACTTGTTTTGTGGCGAAGTGGAATAATCCACCCGTCCCCGCTTGAGTGCATCCATGCCCGAGCTCAACCAGGTTTAGCTAGCATGAAAGCATTCTGACATGGGCCGTTGGACGTCCCGCATTGATGGTTTGGTGCTCTCATGCAACGCGTTGGTCTTTACTCCTTGGTGTGAAAGCGTGAACCGGTCATTCTTTTCTTGGAGATAGAATTGCGAAGCATTGGGAAAGAGGAACGTTTCAATGTGCCAGAGTCGAAAGACGAGCTCAGCGGTCATCCACCTTTGAGGGATCGAGCGAGGTTTTCCATTGCAGGATCGAGGATCTCTTTTGAGGGAACCACTATGACCTAGCGAGTGACAGAAGAGACCGAAAGGGGATGCCCCGCAGGAAGGGGCTGTCAAGCAAATGATCTGTTTTGGGGACGCTCGTGGGGACCCTGGTCTCTTTTCGCCAAAACGGGCCCCGTCAAATCACCGTCCGGGCTCATCTGGGAATGAAGGAACTCACTGAATTTCCCAGCGACCCGCTTACTTTCCCATGTCCTAACTGTTTTTTTCTTTAGGGGGGTAGTTCCTTCCGGTTTCATTCACAAACCTATCAGAGTCTGTCAGAGTGAGCGATATTGGAGGGAAGGCGTCCCATGTTTTTAACACATGAGCCACAATCAACGCCCGGGTAGCTGAAGGTTAGTAAGGGACAATCCCAACCATAAATAGCTGCGAATATCCGCCTGATTTCTTTACATGGTTGTGGGTAGACCGGTAGACCATTTTCTTACCGCGTTTTGATCATGACTCACATGGCCATACCCTTCCGAGGCTGGGCTTCACCAGGTTGGGAGCCTGAGCCCAACCCCTTCGCCGCTGCCACCCTGAGAGCTGGCCCTCGCCAAAGCGTCCAGGCCGTGGAACCTTTTGGCTTTGTGGGTTCTCAACATCGGGGGACCCCCCAAAAAAATAGAATCAACAGGTGAAACCAAGTCCTTAAAAAAGTAAACCGGCCGAAAGAGTGGTTCCTTCAGAAAGGACATCCACACCTGGTGTCCGGAACGCAGATGGAACTCTCCCGAACAGCAAACATTCAATCGGGGGAAGGGGATGGAAGCTAAAGTGCCAGCTTGCCAAAGGCATGTCAACTTTTGAGGGACTGAAAGCGGGCTCCATGGTAATGCTAAGAGGTACTGAATCTACATGACTGTAGTAAGAGGTGACAGGACGCTTCCACTAAAGGGGAACCACCCGCGAGGTTGATTTATCTGAGGTTCCCTTCAGTCTCACCAGCATGTGCCGCCCGACCGTTTATGTATTTTTTCTTTCTAAGCGGCTCAACTCTGACCCATTCCTCGGTTTGGATCTCTGAGCCATGATACTGTGGATGGACGAAATCCATTTCGCACCACTTTGAAACCATGAGAAACCATCGTTTGTTTGTATTTACAGCAGGAATCATCATTGCAGGCTTTCTTAGGTGGTGCAGGACTTCGTCCATCCACAGTATGAGCAATTTTCTTGATGCCTTGCGGTGGGACATGGGCTGGATGTGCCAGGACCAGAGCTGGTGGCAGTGCGTGGTGCTGCCGGAAAAAGCGGCCGCGACTCGCCGATGTTCGATTTCCGCGAGGGGGCCCGTTGGGACGATGGCACAGATCGCCGCAACCCTGTCATGCTTGTTTGGGTGATGGATGTGATCCCTCATAGGTTCTTTAGGCGATCAGAGCAAGCGATCTTTCCCGAGTCCTGCTTAGGCTTCCACCTGTCAGATATGTAGGCAGTTTAGGTGGATTTTTGTGGTGGAACCCGTTCATCAACCATGGCTGAAATCGAAGCGAGCACTGAAAGGGCTTTTGGAGCGACAAGTCCGTGGCCTGGTGGCACAGGCGGTCGCAGGTTCTCAAGCAGTGGTCGAAGACGTGGGGTGAAGAGCCCGAAAATTCGATTCGACTCACCACGCAGATACGAAATACTCAAAGTGAAGCACCAGGACACAGTGAAGTCGAGCAAGTTGCAGTTTGGGCTTTGCGCTACTTCGCCAGCGATCCGCTTCATGTCGCGCCCGGCCAGCGCGAAGCTGGGAGCCAGGAGAAGCCAGCTATTGCGGCAGCGTTTCCTTTTGCGGGAGTTGCTGTGATCAGAGAATGGACTGGGTTTCATCCAACATTTGGCTGTGGCGCAAAAACATGGAGACCAAAATGGCACCTTGGCCACTGGAACGAACCAAAGACCAACACCTGCGGTTTGCCCGAGCTCTTTCAGTTTTAGAGCCACACCCATGTCATGCCATGGCCTTTTGGCCGAGGCCCTGAACACACCCCCGTTGCATGACCTCACTCGGAGAGGCTCGTGATTCCAGGAGCGTCTCCACTTCGAAGCGCGAGGCTCCGAAGCTGGAGCAGACGGAGGCTCCGAGTGCACGTGGATGCGGAAAGAACCGGCAAAGAAGAAAGCAAACCATCCAACACCACAGGACTCAACGGACCACCAGACCACCAGAGGGGCTTTCAGGGCTGGCAACTTCCCAGACCTTTGGAGGGCTTCCGACTTCCCCTTTTGGAGTCAAGGCCATGGGTTTAGGTCTGGGGGGTCAGCTCTGGTCTCTGAGAAGCTGTCCGGAGCCCGAGGGCCCTGACCTGCGCGCCGGCAGCTCGGTGGAGCGGTTCCAGGTGGACTGCGCGCGCCTGGAGGAGGGCGGATGGGTGGGTGATGACGATTTGCCCACTTGCCCCAGATTTTTGCTCGCAAGCTAGGTGGGTGCAGGGGCGAGCGAGCAAAATGGAGGTTTCCAACCGAGGTTTCCAGCCATGCTGGGCTGGTTTTACAGGGGCGCCCCTTGCCAAACAGGCAGATTTTGGCGGCTTGATGTGGTTCCGTGCTGGTTGACAGGTTCATTTGCTATTCATGAAGTTAATGCTCCAACCAACCGGTGAGACTTAGTTGTTTGCTTCCCAGTTGGATTGCCTGGACTCCAGAAGTGTTTCACACAAAAAGGCTTTGGAACGGAGACTCGCCATTGCACATGGCAAGAAGGGTCGCCAAGCCGCACAAGCAGGGGGCTTTGATAATACATTCATGTTTAAGCAGCGGGAACGGATCTTGCTCGCCCAAATTGCCAGTGGCCTCTACTCAATTTCCCATGCCGGAGATTTCCAAACACAACCAAACAACTTTGATCATAAACCGGACTTGGACTTTGATTGGAAGGGCGGGCTCTTTGGGGTGGGTTTTCAGCTCGGGTCCAAGAGGACACTTCGAAACTTGAAGGGCCCTGTGCCTTGTGAGTAGGGAGCCTGTATGGGTGAAGATGGAAGACGCGGAGCGGATTGGGTCAGTTTTGGTGAAGCTGGACGCACCCAGTGTAGTCGTTGCCTCAATGTCATTTTGACATGCTTGGACCTTGGATGGAGTTTGGAGAGCACGACATGGACCGCGTGCAAAGGTGTCTAAAGTCGAGGGCGCTCTATTGTTTCATCACAAGGGCCTGTCCATCAAAGCGAAAACCCTCGCTCTTTCAAGTTTCAAGCGCTGTCGATTGGCCAGGCCGCTCTTTGGGCCGACGTCTTGTGGATGATAGGGCGCATTTCTCCGAAGTCTTGAAGCTCCGACCAGATCCCCTTTGCAGCTGAATCGATCAGGAGGAGCTGCGCGTGGTGCGCAAGGAGCTGGCCAAAGTGCAGGGAGAGTATGCGGCCCGGGCAGCATGCGAAAGGGCCTTTGAACCCAACAAATCTGGAAGCCGAGAAAATGTCACAAGAACCAATTACCGACCAACACCACCAAGCATTTTGTTGATGCACAGGCCCATTGTGGAAGAATATGCTCTTCTTGGAAAGGAAGACTGTGCACTCCCGTATTTTGTTGGTATTCCTTTTGGTCAACAAGAAAAAGGAGGGCGCCTTGCAGGGTATTCTTTTTGTGCTTGGGTGGGTGGGTTCAACATCTCCTCTTGGGCCAATGCGAAAGAGTTTCTCTTCGTGGGGGGTGGCGGATAGGCAGGAACCTCTTGCCCGAGATTTCAAGGTGGGGCTGGCGAGTTCCGGTGCTCCCAATGGGCGTGGTTTTTGACTACGGAGGTGTGTTTGAGGTTTGGGGGCTGGGGGATCGCGGCTTGAGCGTGAGGCGGACGTGCTAGACTCCTGGCAGCATGGAGCGACGGGTTTGCGAGCGAGGCACGTTGTGACAGCGGGCAAGAAAGCGTGAGGGCTCTTCTCACTTGGCACTTGACAACTGTTGCCATTTAGCGGTGAAAGTCTTTTTTTGGGTGGTTTCCCTATTGGTCCCTTCATGTAAAGAACCTTTTGATCAACCCCCATACACGATTCATGCTGCACGAAAGATACGTCAGGACGGCCCAAATGATTCGAGTCAAAGCCTGTCGGCAAACCTGAGTTATTGATTCGTGGGGACCCAGTTGTGTCGACTGGTCCCACGGGTACCCTTTGGGGGCGTCCACCAGTTGGAGACAACCACATCTCATGCACAATCGATATCGCCCAAAGTGCGCAAAACGCCCAGTCCAGAAGGTGGTTCCAGGTTCCATGGTGGCAGTTATTTCCAGGTGCTCGCTTTCATCCTGTGAATGGACGAAATCCTGCACCACTTTGAAACCAATGGGACACCAATTCTCGGTTGGTGTTTACAGGGGAATCATTAGAAACCTATGTTTCTTGGGTGGTGCGCACTGGATTTCCTCCATGCACAGTAGGGCTGTGACCTTCACAGGGCTCCTCGAAAGATACATTTCGCCCAATTGAAACATGGCTTTTTCCAGTAAAATAAAGGGAAACCACCATTTACAAGGCAATGTTCAGGTGTAAGGATCCCTTCACCGTAGAACCAAACCATCCGCGAAAACGACGCATCGAGGAAGGCGAGCAGGCCTCCCACTTCGAGTGGCTGGCCAGCTGGCACCAGAAGCTCCTGGCGGCCATGGGGGCGCCGAACGCAGGCCGGGAGCGACCTCAAGGAGAGGCTCTTCGCAGCTGTGATGTTTGCATAAAATATCTGTATACATGCATGCATGCATGTATATGTATACATGCATGCATGCATACATGAATTTCGTTGCGTTATACGTAACATTACATTGCATGCATACATGCATGCAATACGTTACATTACATTGCATGCATGCATACTTACAAGGGTGAACCTGCCCCGGTGCCTGCCTCTTAAAGCGCCAGGTGTATCATTTGTATGCAAATAAGAGGTTACCAACTATGTTACTACAATCGATTGCTCAATTTCTGCCGGGTGCTCAGAAGGGACTTGCCTTCGTGACGTGAGGATCATGATGCAACTTCAACTCCCAGGCGGAACGGAGCCTTTTTGTCTTGAGCGAAACCTAACATCCTGAAAACAAAGCTCGAAACTAGATGAGACGATTCAAGATACGCACACTTGCGGCAAGGTGTGGGAGGCAGAATCATCTGTCGTTTGCCGATTTTTCGTTGCAAAATAGATGTCGCGGCTTCCAAAAATGACTCGGTCTGCTTCTGATGGTCTTTGTTTAAAGTGGTCCACACCAAGTGGCCGAAACCAAGTGGTCGACACCAAGTGGTCAACACCAGTGTTTTAGTATCTCATGTCGTGGTTCCAAACTCTTGTCTGTGTTTCATTCGGCAGCACCAAAGACAAAGTCGCACTTTTGAGCTGGGCATGACGACTAAAGTGGTCGACACACCCAGCATGAGTACAGTTGTTTTTTCCTGAAGAAGATGCTGTTTTGGTCCGTAGACTAAGGTGGTCGACAACTCCAACATAAGCCATGTTTTAGTCGAAACTCGCAGCATCACTAGTACAAAGTTGTAAGCCTATTCAGCGTCAGCAAGTGTGAACTAAGTAGCCGGGACCGGACCCGTCTCGAGTTTGAATGATTTTTTTGAGAAGAAGGCAAGAAGAGCACACAGACTTCGGACAGAAGAGCCCGGTCAAGGATAATGAAACAAACGTGACCCTGAGCAGACCTATTCAGACGGAAGTCCTCGAATGTACAATATGTATATATGTGTTTGTATATATAGAATTGGATGTACATGATGTACATGTGGTTATCTCTCCGTACATATACGTCGAAACACGTGAACTCTCTACGTAAAACTTTGATGCTTACCGTGCCCTTTCTCTGGCGTTCTTTGTTTTTCTCCCGCAGGGCCAACTATGACGTATTGTGCAACTTTTTGCAGAACATCGGCCTGTTTGGGGCTGACTTGGGCGGCGGTGGGCGCCTGTTTGGTAGGTTTGAAGGGAGGGTTTGGGGTTGGTGTTGGCTGAGGCCACGGAAAGCCGTGAAAACTGCTTTCCGCAACAACTGGCCGCAAAAGCGTCACAGCAATCGACGTTGAATAGCATCACCCGCCTTTTGTATTTTGCAATGTGTTATGTATGTATGGGGACAATTGATGAAGTTAAACTTGTGCATTTGTTGGGATCTTTCACGGAGAGCGGCAGACGGGGGGATCCAGTTCTGATGGGTTGGTTGTGCGCCTGGTGGGGGAGGGGTGGGGTGGGCGTTGACAAGTTGAAAGCCAGGGTCCCCCTCGTGTCCTTCCCATGGTTTGATCGGGACAAGGGAAACCCATCCCTTGGGCTGGCCCAAAAACATGAGGCGATGGCTTCCCAGACTTCACAGGCTTCAAGAAGCTGGCGCTCAGGGCGACACAGGAGAGCTTCTGCCCTGACATAAAACACACAGTTTGCCCCGGAAAGCGGCCGCACTCCTCATCGGCGCTCTAGCTGCTTCTGCCTCTAACATATTGGGAAGCCCTTTTTTGGGGGCACTACTGAAAGGCCTTTGCCTCTGTCCCGTATGGACATGCCACCGGAACCAGTGGTGGTGAGTGGGTTGCAAAGGGTACAGGAGCCATCCAGGGTATAAACATGTTTGTGTCCATTTCGGGCACCCTCCCATTACCCGCCAGAGGGCCGCTTTCGGAGGAAAAGGAGGGTACAGTGTGAAAGCAGATGGCGCACTTCCTAGTAGAGGTAGTAGAGGTGGGTAAACGGGTTGGGATTGTGCCATCTACTCCATTTCCCGGTATAGGTAACCGTGGGAACCACCCTCTTTCAAACCAGAGGCTAAGATCGACAGGTTTTGCAGCCGTGATTTCAATCTCAAGTTGACTGGGCTGCCACGCACGTCTCTGCGCCATTCCCCTATGGTTGCAATTCGAGGGGCCTGTTGGACCGGGATTCCCAGCCATTTCAAGGGATCGTTTTGAGCTTATGATCCAACTCCTTGGTATCCCTTGAAGTCACTATCCCGTCCAAACTGGAGGTTTGGACCCCCTAACCACCCTCACCCAACGCCCGCGAGGACGTAGTGGAGGCCAAGGCGGAGGCGCTGGACCAGGCGAGGGCTGTGCGGCTCCAGCAGCGCACCCAGCGCCTCCAGGCAGGGGGGGGGCCAGAAGTTGGAGTTCTTCTTGCATCCTTATGGCTCGAAAAGGATACACCCCAAAACCACGACAGGATTCGAATGCTGGATCCCCAAAGCAGCTGGTAAAGTTTTTGCTGGCCCTAGATCGGTGGGGCACTGTTGCACAATTCAGTTTTTGAGGGACATGCAAGAAACTGGGCAACAGATGGCTCTGATTTTCAGTGGTTTGAGCTCAGTCAGAGTTGGGACAGCCTGAGAAGGGGCTCAATAGATGGATACTGCAGATACCCTTGATGGGCCATGTCCAGTTCTGGACGTTTTGGACCACCAGTACATTGCAACTTTTGGAAGCGATCTGCGTTCTGCCCAGCTGGCGATGGCGAGGTGACTGGGTTGGGATGCCCAAAACAGCTGTTCATTTTGCACCCCCCCCTTTTCTGGCCTGGCTGTGATCAAAGCTCCCGGTTCTCCTTCATGCAGGATGAGGTGGCTGCGCGACGGAAGGAGCTGGCAGAGATCCAGGCCTGCAGAAGAGCCAGTGCCGAGGAGAGGGGTTTGTCGGGTCTGAGCACTTTACTCTCCCATCCATATGGAACCTGGCTGGGGGGGGTGCGCGTTTGACCCCACTTTTTCCACCCTCAGGGCCTAAATACTGCCGTTTGCAACCTGGAGTCCGGGACGCACAGATAGGGCGATCTCATCTAGGGTCCAACCCTTGGTTCCATGGACGGGAAGGTAATTGGAATAAGGTTGTGGGGTGCCATCAAACCCCATCACGTTCTGACCATGGGATAATTATGTTTGTTGTTATGCAGGCGACTCCGCAAGGATTGGCCTCCAGGGAAGAGAGAAACTTTGGACTAAGATGGGAGAATGAGGCATGCCAAAGCAACTCGTTGCTTGGCTTCTAAAGTGCCAATCGTCTAAGTGTGGTACACTATTTGTTCATTTCCCTTGCCTCCCTGATTTCCGATCCACTTCACGAGTAATTCTCTGGCGTCGGTTTTTGAGTGTACCCCTTTTCTGTGAGTTTAAAGGGTACCTTTTTTTTGTGGCTTTAACCAGCAGGAACTCGCCTAAAAAAACCACAGACCCCAATGGAATTGTTTGCCGTCTGGTTTTGCCTTTTGGCAGTAACCCCACACCAAGCACCTCGCCATCCGAAGGAGTTGAAGCGCAGCAGACGCGCGCGGGAGAAGGTGAAGCCGCCGGAGGTACGACCAGTGGGCAAATGTCAACCTCGGATTGATACACCTGGCGGAATTGATAGGTTTAGTGTGTGTTCCGCCTCAAGGAAGTCAAACATCCCCTCGTAAATGACCCCCCCAGTGCCAAAATTGCTGGTTTCGGGCTTCTCGGCAATGCACCCAAAAGAGATTTGGGCACTGCTGCGCGCTGTGTGATGAAACCAAATTCCCATTGCACCGTGGCATCCCTTTCCCCCCAGGGCCCCAGCACGTCCACGACCAGCGCGTCCACGGCGCAGCGGGTGGCGGAGTTGAAGCTCCGCCACGGCGGCGCCGCCGCGCGCCTCGGCAAAGGGCGGCTTTCGGTTCCCAGGGCCGGGGAATGGGCCAGATGAAGGCCATGTGGGTGTGGTGTCTTGTTTTCAGGATACCGCCCTTTGGTCGGTTCTAGCTGGAAACCAACTGGCAGAAAACAGACAACCTCTCATATACAGCGAGGCCAAAGAATGCCGCACCGGTGCCGGTGCCACAACGGTCGCAGGCATTGCGCGGATCTCCGGAGGCAGCTCAAGGAACTGCGGGCGGCGGCGCGGCCCATGTTCTCCCACGTGCGGCTTGGCTGCGGAGGAAATGGGGGGGGCGGTTGGGAGGTGGGGGGGTTGGGAGGTGGGGGGGTTGGGAGGTGGGGGGTTGTCTCGGTTGTGAACTTCATCAGGGTTGGTGTGAAGTTTTGAGGGTAGGAGTTAGGTTGTAGGGGTGAGAGCCATGGATAATTAAAGGTAGCGCTGCGTGCGTACTGCATGGCTATGGGGAGAATGATGTGCCGGCCAGTCAGCGAACAGTTGAGCATGTATGCAAGTACACATATGTGTGCTATTTTGCAAGTGGCACATTGCCCATTGCAACGCTTCCCAGGCCTAGGGTGTTTGACACCCATTTTGATGGGTGCATCCCAGGTACAAGATCCGCATGGAGCGCTTGAAGGTGCGGCAGAGACACGAGTCGACGAGCTTTGCGTGATGGGTTAGGGACTTGCATCGGATCTATTTATTCCGGCAATACAAGCAGTGCATAAGGGTATCAATCTGCAAGGTACCTGTAGTATTGCGTTGGTCTCCCCATCTTGGCTCTTCACTGGCCCTCTTTCTAGCCTTCCATCTTCCGCTCACTCAGCCCTCGGTTCGTCTCTTTCAGCTCATTCTGTCGGTGTGGAACCACCCCGTCGTTGCCTTTGGCTCGTTTGCGGGCATGTTGCTGTTTGACCTGGTTCACCTGGCCTATGATTCAACGAGGAACGGACTCTTTCAGCCAGGACCACTTTTTTCCAACCGCTCTCCTTCCAATCGTCCAAGCTGACCGGCGAGTTTGGGAAGTTCGCGGGTTCGCTTCGGTCCTAGTTGCTGGCTCGCTTCGGTCCTAGTTTTCATCTCGCTTCGGTCCTAGTTTCCTTACTCGCTTCGGTCCTAGTTTCTTCGCCGTTGACTATGGTGTTTGAGAGGCAACATCCTTGTCGACCCCACCCCACCCGGCATGTCTTGTTGTTAGGTGTTTGAGAGGCAACATCCTTGTCGACCCCACCCCGCCCGGCATGTCTTGTTGTTAGGTGTTTGAGAGGCAACATCCTTGTCGACCCCACCCCGCCCGGCATGTCTTGTTGTTAAGTGTTTGAGAGGCAACATCCTTGTCGACCCCACCCCGCCCGGCATGTCTTGTTGTTAGGTGTTTGAGAGGCACATCCTTGTCGACCCCACCCCGCCCGGCATGTCTTGCTGGTAGGTGTTTGAGAGGCAACATCCTTGTCGACCCCACCCCACCCGGCATGTCTTGTTGTTAGGTGTTTGAGAGGCAACATCCTTGTCGACCCCACCCCACGCGGCATGTCTTGTTGTTAGGTGTTGGAGAGGCAACACCCTTTGCGTGTGTCCTGTTGTTAGTGCTCAAAAAGCTATCTTCCACTGCGCCTGAAGTGATCCAAAAATTGCGACAGAAGTGATCCGCAAATGCTCAAACTACGACCAAAGTGAGTGGATTTCAGCTGCGACCAAAGTGATCCAAAAACTGCGACCAAAGTGATCCCCCCGCCGTTTGGGAAGGTCTCGGATTTCCTGTGAGTCGAGTCAGGCCGAGCTGGCGCAGCAGAAGCAGCACCAGCTTCAGGAGGCTGAGGAGGCACAGGTTTGGTCGAAATGTCCAGAGGCGTTGTTTTGCGACATGGAGGGCTGGGGGGGGGGGGGGGCATGTGGCACTTGGTCTGCCAAAAATGGGGGGTGCGGGGGGGCAGGCATTTTTCCCCATGCCCTTTGTGGGAAACGAGCTGTTTTCGATTGGGCCCTCAGAGTTCCAGGCTTTGAGTGCAAGACTTGGACCAGGTTGCTCCGAGCCTTGTGATCAAGCCACAGGGTTTCGAGATCCGCGGGGGTCAGAGAGGGTGCCCTCAAGTCAGGGTTCAATTGACACCAAGCCATTTTTCAGCCCTTTCAATTCTTTGCCATGGGTTTTGGGTCATCCTGAACTCCTCAACCTGTCCTAAACCCGGCCCTAATCCCATCCTAGCCCAACCCAAGCCCCTGAGTCATGTTGATTCCCATCCCTCAGCATGTTGAAACTATAGTGAGTAAACATACCCTCCCCCAGGCGAACCTGGTAGCTCGACCCAGGAAGACTGGCCTGGGAGCTTTCATGTTCGCATAAAGCGTCACCGCAGCACTGGTCTTGGCACCTCAATCGGGGACCGGCGCGGCACCCGGCGCCCCGGCCAGGCGATGCTGCGCGAAGAGACGCGGCAGCGGGCAGCGATGGACGCGCAGCTGGCGGCGCGGCGGCGCAAGCTGCAGGCGGCTCGTCGGCTCGTCGGCTCGGGGGAAAACCGGGGAGTGCCGCTGCTCTGTGCCAAGGGAGTTCTCTTTTTGTAGTCGAGACACAAAACCCAGGCCACTTTGGCATCCCAGAGAGTTGTTCAGTTGTTGAGGTCATAGGAGAACACCCACATTGTGGAAGTTATGAAGAGGGAGGGTCCCAAGCAACGCCTTATGCGGGGCCGGCATGCATGTCTTTTAGGTATCTTGCTTGGAGGGTTTGTGGCAGAGCTCATTTCATTGGTGCACACAAACTTGCTGTTGGCTGCCGTTTCGAACTGGCAAACCACTGGTTGTAACTGTTGTCCAGCAAGTACACTTGATGCGGCCTGGTGACCAACCCGCGGCACACGTCTTGTCTGACGAGTGGACTCCAAGGCAAAGCTTCAAAAAGCTTTCATTTGGGAACCCAAGTTGCGATGTCTGTGATTTCGCAACCGGTGTGAATTTGCATACGTGTCAACGATAGTAGATGTTGCTCTTGTTTGCTTCAGAAAGGCTATCGGTGTTGATGTCTTTTGCAGTCAGAGTCTCTGTTGGTGGCTTCTGACGCAGAGCCAAGACAAGCACTCTGATAGTTGCTGGTCGAAGTGGCTTGGAGATGTTGTTGTTTGATGGTTCAGTTGATGTTGCTGTGGTTGCTACTGCTCTGTTTTGTGTAAAGCTGCGAGCACACACTACAGGACGTTTGACGAATACCCACCAAAACCAGGGGTTCTAGCTAGCTTCGTGCAACAAATCCCGAAGCTGTCGACGGTTTGTCATTGACTTTGCGTGATGTCTTTGTTCTTTGTTGCTTTTATTTCTGATTTGTTGCATTGTATGAATGCAGTCGTTTGCTTTCCGCCCCATGGGTGCCGTTGAACACATTCATTGAAGCTCTGAGATCTGCGTTATGGGAAGGCTTCGCATCGGGGTGGGCCAGGAGCTGCGTGCGGCCGCCACACAGGAGGCGCGACTGGACTTGGCACCTCTGCACCTGACATTGCTGGAGCTTTTCAGTTTTTGCTCGGAGACGCGCGATTTCCTTCCTGCGCTTGACCCGCGCATTGGCCGAGCTGCATGGACTGAGCCTTGCGAGCTGGCCAGGCCTCACGTGAAGCCAAGGCGGGACACGTGAGTTCTGCTTGCCGAGTTGCAGTCAAAATGACCCCCTTTCCTCATGAAACACCTGGGCAGGTCCCTTGAGTGTGTTCCAAAGCGCTCACTGAGACCTTGCCATTGTCAGAGCAGGACCGCAAGATGCAGGTGGATGCTCCAGATGCCGGAGACAATACGTTTCCTCCAAGCATTCCTGAGCAGATGTCTCTCGAAAAGCAAGAGGCAAAGGAGGTGCAAGGTATGCAGAGAGCCGAGGCAGCAGCAACATCAGATGCAGCAGACGAAGCAGATGCAGAAGATGCAGACAACGCGGCTGGCACAGACAAGGACAAAGAGGAGGAGACGGGAGAACGGGCAGCCAGGCCAGAAGACGAGGATGAGGCAGTGCACGAGAAAGATGTAGCCGCAAGATCTACTGGTGAGCACGTTCAGTCAGCAGAAGCAGCTGACATGGTTGCTTTCAGCCTTGCAGAACATGTGACAGGAATGAAGGTGGATGCTCCAGATGCCGGAGATAATACGCTTCCTCCAAGCATTCCTGAGCAGCTGTCTCTCGAAAAGCAAGAGGCAAAGGAGGTGCAAGGTATGCAGAGAGCTGAGGCAGCAGCAACATCAGATGCAGCAGACGCAGCAGATGCAGAAGATGCAGACAACGCGGCTGGCACAGACAAGGACAAAGAGGAGGAGACGGGAGAACGGGCAGCCAGGCCAAAAGACGAGGATGAGGCAGTGCACGAGAAAGATGTAGCCGCAAGATCTACTGGTGAGCACGTTCAGTCAGCAGAAGCAGCTGACATGGTTGCTTTCAGCCTTGCAGAACATGTGACAGGAATGAGGGTGGATGCTCCAGATGCCGGAGACAATACGTTTCCTCCAAGCATTCCTGAGCAGCTGTCTCTCGAAAAGCAAGAGGCAAAGGAGGTGCAAGGTATGCAGAGAGCCGAGGCAGCAGCAACATCAGATGCAGCAGACGCAGCAGATGCAGAAGATGCAGATGACGCGGCAGGCACAGACAAGGACAAAGAGGAGGAGACTGGAGGAAGGGCAGCCAGGCCAAAAGACGAGGATGAGGCAGTGCACGAGGAAGATGTAGCCGCAAGATCTACTGGTGAGCACGTTCAGTCAGCAGAAGCAGCTGACATGGTTGCTTTCAGCCTTGCAGAACATGTGACAGGAATGAAGGTGGATGCTCCAGATGCCGGAGACAATACGCTTCCTCCAAGCATTCCTGAGCAGCTGTCTCTCGAAAAGCAAGAGGCAAAGGAGGTGCAAGGTATGCAGAGAGCCGAGGCAGCAGCAACATCAGATGCAGCAGACGAAGCAGATGCAGAAGATGCAGACAACGCGGCTGGCACAGACAAGCGCAAAGAGGAGGAGACGGGAGAAAGGGCAGCCAAGCCAAAAGACGAGGAAGAGGCAGTGCACGAGGAAGATGTAGCCGCAAGATCTACTGGTGAGCACGTTCAGTCAGCAGAAGCAGCTGACATGGTTGCTTTCAGCCGTGCAGAACATGCGACAGGAATGAAGGTGGATGCCGGAGACAATACGTTTCCTCCAAGCATTCCTGAGCAGCTGTCTCTCGAAAAGCAAGAGGCAAAGGAGGTGCAAGGTATGCAGAGAGCCGAGGCAGCAGCAACATCAGATGCAGCAGACGCAGCGGATGCAGAAGATGCAGATGACGCGGCAGGCACAGACAAGGACAAAGAGGAGGAGACGGGAGAACGGGCAGCCAGGCCAAAAGACGAGGATGAGGCAGTGCACGAGAAAGATGTAGCCGCAAGATCTACTGGTGAGCACGTTCAGTCAGCAGAAGCAGCTGACATGGTTGCTTATGGCCTTGCAGAACATGCGACAGGAATGAAGGTGGATGCTCCAGATGCCGGAGACAATACGTTTCCTCCAAGCATTCCTGAGCAGCTGTCTCTCGAAAAGCAAGAGGCAAAGGAGGTGCAAGGTATGCAGAGAGCCGAGGCAGCAGCAACATCAGATGCAGCAGACGCAGCAGATGCAGAAGATGCAGATGACGCGGCAGGCACAGACAAGGACAAAGAGGAGGAGACTGGAGGAAGGGCAGCCAGGCCAAAAGACGAGGATGAGGCAGTGCACGAGGAAGATGTAGCCGCAAGAACCAGCGAGGAGAACGTTCAGTCAGCAGAAGCAGCTGAAATGGTTGCTTTCAGCCTTGCAGAACATGTGACAGGGATAAAGTTGGCTGATATCTCATCTGCAAGCTTACCGCAGAAGCCAGCAGACATGTCCCAGGAGCTGCCAGCTGCAAGATTGCAAGACCAGCCAGCGGACATGGCCGATGATGAGTCAGTTGCAAGCATGCAGGATCGGCCAGCGGACATGGCAAATGACATGTCAGGTGCAAGCCTGCACGAGACGCCAGCTGATGTGGCCGATGATCACTTAATTACAAGCATTCCGGAGAAGCCAGCAGACATGGCTGACGATGAGTCTATCGCAAGCCAGCAGGACAAGCTGGCGGTCATGACCGAGGATCGACCTGCTGCACAAGTGCAGCACCAGCCAGCGGACATGACTGATGACCAATCAATTGCAAGCTTGCAGGAGAAGCCGTCAGACATGGACGAGGATGAGTCGGTTACAAGCATGCAAGAGAAGCTATCGGACATGGCCGAGGATGAGTCAGTTGTAAGCACTACGGAGAAGCCAGCAGACATGAATGAGGATCAGTCAGCTGCAAGCTTTCAGAGGCCCGCAGACATGGCCGAGGCTCAAAGCGGCCCCAGCTCTGCTCGCCAGCATCCATCCACCCTGCCGAAACGGGTCATGAGATACAGAGATTCTAGCAGCTCAGAGGAGAGCGAGATGGAAAGCCCGGCCGATCAGTCAGCTGGCAAGCCACCAGATGCTGAGAAGGAGGAGCCACCAGATGCCACAGGCGCTGAGTCTGTGGGCATCAGGGCAAAAAACCCAAATCCAGAAGTCAAGCATCTGAAGGTTGCCAGGATGGACGCCCGAGCTGAGGCGGGAGCTGCGGAGCAGCCGGTTTACTACCCCAGTCTTCTGGAACACTTCGTTGTCAAGTCATTCGCTTTGTACTCCGGGGAAAAGGACGATGTTTGCATTTGCATGTTTGGATGTCAACTCTGGCCTGTGTGGGTTATGCGTATTTGTGCAGAAACTGCAAGTGGAATTTTCCGAAAGATGAAGCGCTTCGACGCCCTCATTCAGGCGCTTCTTCATCTGTTGCAGGTTCTGTCCCTGCACATCCCCCTGACCCACCTCAAAATTCTGCAGGGCTCCTGTTCTTTCCCCTTTTGCTTGTTTTGGGCATTCCCGTTTTGAGCCCTGAAGTAGTTGATTGGCTGGCCAAAGTTGGCGAGCTCCCTATGAAAGGCAGCACCGGGTCCCGGGTTCATCGAAAGTGTGAGGATGCCGAGCTGCCGGAGTTCCTGTCGGCCACGTGGCAGGACGTGGAGGGCTCTCTGGTGCTCTCTGAGAGCGCCAGCCCGGCACGACGGAAGGAACGCATCGCCCGGCGGTTCGGGGTGGCTTTGTGGTCTTTGTTCCGGGTTCGGGGGCAAGTTTCGTAGTTTTTGCGGATTGGGAGCAGAGGTTTCACAAACAACTGGTTTTCCATTTAGTTTTTGAGCCCCTGCCAGGGTGTGCTGGCAGACTCGGAAGACTTGGACGTGCAAAACAATCCAAAGCCTCGGAAGCCTTAGTCCGGACACCTCGCACAGTATTGCAGGGTAGATCGGCAGCTCCTCCCGGTGTCCGGACGAGCCAAGATGTCGCGACCTTGAAGGAGAAGGTGTTGCCGACGGGTGGCAGATGGGCAGATGGCGATGATGGCTACAGCAGTCCTCTTTGCACTACGTGAGCGGAACTCGAACCACGCAGTCGGTGTCGCGAAGGTCTTCCTGAGAGCAGAGCCAAGAATTCGGTCGTTTGATCGTGCAAGATGAATTCAGTGCCCCAAGAATCGAATAAACAGAAGCGAACACCGCACCATGCAGGCAGCTTGCAAAGGTTGCAAACGAGGTTTGCCTAGGGATGTTTTTTTGCTTCCGACTCTGCATCCGTGTTTGCAACTCGCGGCCTTGGGTTCAAACGTTAGGAAGACAGCCGGCCTCTTGCCCCCATCCATGGCATCCCCTGGCAGGTTTTGAAGCTGCAAACGTGCACCTTGGAGCGCTTTGCTTTCCCGCTTCCCCATGTTAGTTCCTTGGCAGATGTTGTTGGCGCGTTTGGACCTGGACAACAGATCTTACGCAGGTGTCAATGCTCGCAAGCGGGCATGTGATTGCAAACTGACGGCTGCATAGAGACGGCGGATGGCGGGTTCCCTTGCGCGTCCCCACTCCTCAATACACCCCCGCGCCAGGCATCACACGGGACCGGGCCCGGATGGAGGCGGGGTCTCAGAAAGCGGCTGGACTGGGCCCACTCTTCGCAGGTTTTGCTCATTCGCCGACCATGCGGTTGAGGTTACAGGTTGCTGAGAAACGGTTCCTTGAACATGTTCGCCAGGGGCAGGGTGGATTCCATGGGTTCATATGAGGTTGGTCTCAAAATGTCCGGTAGCCTAGCAAAAACAAGGGGGACTCACGCCACTTCCCACAACAAGCATGAATATGAATAAATATCCCGCGTCCTCTTGGAGAAAAGCTTAGTTTTGAGCATGGCTCATACTTTGGATGGACGAAATCCTGCACCACCCAAGAAACCCGCGGAATGATGATTCCCCTATAAATGCCAACAAGCAATGGTTTCCCAGGCTTTCAAAGAGGTGCGAAATGGATTTCGCAACCATCCACAGTATGTGGGTTCCGTAGAATCCTTTGATGGCTCGGACGTCTCCGAATCCGTTGAAGCCTTCGCCCGAACATCGATCCGGGCGCAGGGTAGCCATGGAGGCTGGTCTCCGATGTGTGGTTCGCCAGCGATGCATGAGAGGGTCTACTCCCGAGATCGCGGGGCTTGCCATTCAGAAATGTTGGCTCCCTTTGAAATCATGAAGGTAGATGAAGGTTACTGGGTCCAAGCCATGGTAATGGACATTGGTTGGTTTTAGCTTGCCGCTTTCTGTGAGTTTCCCGAACCCCTGCCCGGTGAAGTAGATCATGGCTGGGAATGCACCACTAGTAGCACGCCCGAACTTGTCATGTTTCCATGGGTCAAAACCAATGGTACCATTTTGGGGTAGGTGAACCACCCATTTGGGGATTGGGATGTTCACTGGGGGCACAGGGTTACCCACAGCCATGTGTGAAAAATTGAAAGGTCCGGCGAGGGATTTTTCCGTTCCAACTAGGCCGACATGTGGCTCTGCGAGGATGACTTGTAAATTGAGCCTTCGAAGGGGCTTGAGGAATCTCCCACCAGCTCACGGAAGGCTGCTAAACCGCACAGTGCACTAGTCGGATCGGAGAGATCGGCTCGCCGCACCAACTCAACAAGCCACTCTTCCATCTACCAGAGGATTGATTTTTGGCCCACCCGGTAGCAGAGCTTTGTTGTCTTTGAGTTGTATTGGATTCTCAGGCAGTGGGCATTCTTGCAATACAATAATTCTAAGGCACTACCATATTCAGTGCTGGAGTCCGCTTTTATATGGGTGTTGTTGTTTTGGGGGTACCCTTTCTCGAGTTTGTTTCGCAGGGAAGACCACAGAACCAACCTTTCCATCTCCCATTTGGGGGACGAATCCAATGTGCTGATTGCAGGAGCTTTGGCCTCGTGTCCATGGGTTCAGGGCACGGGGACTTCCATGGCCTCGGGAACCAAAGCCATGGCTCGTATCTTGGCCAACCAACCCGGATCGGGTACCACCCACGCACCCGCACATGCACCCACCCAGCAGCGCACGCACACAATCACTCACACCCTGCCAGGCAATGCGGTGCCAGAGCGGTACCGTCAGCTGCAGCAGGCCATGGAGGCCTCAGAGCTTCAGGGAGCCACTGAGTACCCAGTGGTCTTCGATGTTGAACAGGGTTTCAGCTTGAAAACCCACATGTAAGTAGCTGGCAAGAGGGTTGTAGGTTGGCTTGGTAGGAGCCACATTTCACCCACCAGCCATGCTGCTGGTTTCATCACTCGGCTGAAGAGCACAGTGTTACTCTACTTTGGCCGGCTTCATGATTCGGTCTTCATATGATCAACTGACAAACGTGTTGTTTGTCACTTCTTGGACACCCACATTGTCCATAGACAAATCAGGGCGAGCACCCCATTTTCCACATTATCCATGGGAACAAGTCGTATTGTCTGTCATATGGTTCCCCCTGGTGCTTTGTCGTTTTGCCACCTGACTTGAATTATGTAGCTGTTGTCCATAACTGCTGGCCGCTGCAAAAGCTTGAAGCGTGTTAATTTAAATTAGTAAGAAAGGTGTTGGAATTTCGGGGCCCGCGTCAAACTCATTTGACTTCGTAGAACACTTCGTACGTCGTCGGAAGCCCAGATTCAACTTGGCAATTAATGTAGAGGTGCTGCATGGATGCTCCGGAATGCCGTGAATTCAATCCATCCAACAAGGAAGTCAAATGCCCTGTGGATGGACCCAATCCACAAAACGCACAGGTTGTTGGGTGGTCTATCCCAGTTTATTTGGTTTGATGGATCCCAACTGGTTGACATGGTTGAAGAAGCAAGGCGCAAGGTGCATCACTGAGACTCCATATGTGGTTTGGAATGCCCGCCGTGCGGCCCCTTCCATCTTGTGCCAAGCTGCAAAACAGCAGCTTAGTGCTATTCTGCTTGGGCCAACAAGCTCCATGTCATATTTGATGGCTGGTTGGCGTTCTTTTTTTCTCCATTCATGTGACTGGCAAAGGAAGCCAACCCACATAGACAGCTGGCTGCGGCAGATTTAGGGGCTAAACGCGGCGCAGGCGCGCTCAGTGTCCCCAGTGGCGCGCTCAGTGTCACCAGTGCCAGGGGAACGAGGACCGGGAAGAGTGGGATATGAGGGCGTGAATTCGCCATTCGCAGGTGTTACCTTCAATCTAAAAGGCTTGCAGCATCGAAGTCATTTACTTGGCCTGTGTCAAGTTTTTGTGAGTGGCCGAATTCGAGCACGGCTTAGTACATGTTCTGAGAACCCATGCACACGTCTCAATCGTCCTCCTGCACGACGCGATGCCCAAATCATCCCTGGCTAAAGACTATGTAAAGCACACGTATTTTGAGCGGTCCAATGCTTGTTGACATATCCCACAATTGGCAACTGGCTTCAACAGCAGGGTTTGGTTGCCTAGATGGCTTTGTTGCTAGATGACCTACCACAGAGCAGGCTTCGTGTCAGGGATATGTATTGGAGTGGAAGAAGGGCAAAGACCCACCAAAAACGAAGGCAAATCCTTGAAGCGAAGGATCCTCACAAAACAAACCTAAAAACATAGGTGAGCCTTTAAAACGAAGGATCTGGAGGTATTCCAGTTGGCACGTAAGGGTTTTGGCTGCGGCTCGGATGGGCCAAGTCTGGAACTCCAACGTCTCGAATTTTCTGGGTTGAACGCCTTTCTGCCAGATTCCATCAGACTATGACTGTTCATCCCTCCGTTGATTGGGCCAAGCCAGGGGTAGCTTCGGCGGTTTGGCCGCCGACTTGGCGTTGGGTTTTTTCTCCGAAAGTTTCGACTTTTCAGGACCGGCGGAAGGACCGGAGCCCGAAGGACCAGAGGCGGGGTGGGGGTTTTCTGCAAGACCACTTGGTTCCGGCCCTTCCTGTTGATGAACAGGGATCCTCAAAAGATACATTTTGCCCATTTGAGCCATCGCTTTTTCCACCAAAATAACAGGACGCCACCATTTGCAAGGCAATGTTCAGGTGTGTAATGTAAGGATCCCTGTGATGGTTTCCCGAACCAAAATGCACCCGGCCGGAAAGTGATTGGGTATCGGAAGTGAAGGTGGGTTCTGGAGGCCGGCGAGCTGGCGAGTTGACGGGTGAAAGGTTGCTATGAGATTTGCAACTCGCGGAGGTCCCCAAGTACTCTGCCATCCATAGCAAGTATACATTGGGGCAGAGCGTGGAAGAGAACTCTTTCTGTTAGTCCTACCGCATACATACACATCTTAATTGCAAGCATTCTTTTGTCTCGCCCCAGACCATTCATGCGCCATTCTTGTACTGATCACGGTTTCGACTAGGAAAATCAAAGAAGGACATGCTGGGAACATACTTGGTAAGCAGGTGTGGGCAATGGCATGACATGTTTACATGTTTGTGTCTAAAGTGCAATGTCAATCATCGATCTTTGAAAGTCGAGGAGTGAGCCACGCTCAGGCAAGTCCCTCGCTGGCAGGCGGCCGCCTTGGGCAGATCTGACACTGGTGCTGTGGAAGTGCAGTGGATTCAAATGATGCAAAGCCAAGCAGTTGGCCTTCAAAGCTTGCCAAATCCACATAATTATTGGCTGGTTCGAGAGCAGTGTTTTGCCATGCACTCACTACATATCAGACTTTATAGACCGCTTTCAAAGTGGTCCACGGCTTACAAAAGGGCAGTTATTTGTGGGCACTAGGGCCCCGAACATGGTCCCCATGGATGGGCAGAATCCTGCACTGATTGGGTTTCATCCATCCAAACTGGTGTGGAATGGATTTCCACGGATTTGTTGGCACCCCCCTCCCCCCCATAGTTCTGCTGGCCAAGGCTGGCGCATCCTGGCATGGGCGCTGCTGCAGAAGCATCACAAGGGCATGGCGCGGGCGCGGAAGCTCAAGGTGATGGGTTGTTTCGTATGGCCGTCCTTCTTCTTTCTTTGCTTGTTTGGGGTTGTTGGGGGCTGTTTGGGGGGTGGGGGCTGGAGGTTGTTTGGTTGTTTGACTCTGGGTTCAAGATACCTGCCACTGCCCGAAGAGTAGCATGTTGCCCCTGCCTTGCCAACGTCACCAATCAATATTGCATTCCCGCTGAGAGCCCAGTCAAAGGCAGGAATTCCTCACCGCTTCAAGCCATCTCATTTTAAAGCCATCTCATATAGAATGACCAAGAGAGCATCAACTTTTTCCCAATGTCCATAGTGTAAGCGGGTGCACGGACTCTGGTGTCGCTGCGTGGCTCAGGCAATGCTCCGGGGCTTGTGCTATGCCGGGAGCCAAAGGCGAAGAGTCTGAAGAGAACCCGACAGTCCGGCAGCTGCCAAATGCAAGAGGGTATCTCGGTTCGACACCAAGACCCACAGTCCTCAGTTGTTCGGAGGAGCGGCTGAAAAACAAATGGCAAGCCTCTTGTTAATTGTGGGAGGACGGACAATAATCTATTTGCTTTGAACAACTAGGACACATCCCATGCCTTCTTGAGGGGTCGCATCATGTCGACACCAGATTGAGAACCTTAGTGGGCGTTGATGAATACAGAGGCGTTCCATCCGAATCCCGTTCGCAATCATTGGGTTGCAGTCCCTATAAAGAAGCCTCACAGGTTCACAAATCGATGGGGTTTCCATTGCAGGGTTCCAGAGCTGGACCCGAAGTGGTTTCCTCTTGCAAGCGATCCAAGGATGCAATGGGCAACCAAATGCACAGTTTCCTTTTGCAAGCGATCCAAGGCTTATGGGAAGCCCAAATGGACAGCCCATTTCCAAATGGCATTCATGGACTACCTACACCATTTCCAAACAGGTTTCTCCAGTTAGATACCCCAGAGACAGGGTTCCAAGGATGCCAAGAAGGCGCTGCGGAAGGAGCGGAAGGCGGCTCAGGCCCAGGAGGAGCTCGCGAAATATTCAGAGTGGTTGGTTTCCTTTCGCCTTGCAAACCGCCTTTACAAAAATTGCCTGGTAGCCTCAAAGACACACATGGACCCACTTGGCTTTGCAAGGGAAGGCAAAATGATGCCGGGAAACCATTGTTGAAGGTGCCCCCTATGTTTGGAGGCGACTGTTATGGACTAAATTTGAATCACTTGTGGTTTCTGCTGTTGTTTTGAATCGTTTATCCGTTCCCGAGTTGTCATGGGACAGGTAACGGGCCATGCGATGTCTCGTTGGTTCACGGTTCAAACTTTCTGTGCATGATGCTCAATCCGACACAATCTATGTATGCAATATATACGAATATGGCCCATTGGGGGGGGGGGGGGGAAAGCGGCAAACACTACCTACATGGATTGTCTGGGAAATGGTGAAAGTTATTCCTCTCCGAAACAAGCCGACCAAGAGAGGTGGCAGTCCCCGGAAAGCTGTGCATCGGGCTGATTGGTCGGCCTGGGAAAGCTCGCAGGAGATGGGCAAGCAGCGGGTGCTGGAGGCTTGCGGTTTGCGCCTTTTGAACTGCAGGGGCCCTTGAAGAGGCTGAGCAACTGGCCTTTGAACATAAAGCCGCGATTTCCGGTGCGAATTGACATGGAAACTGCGAAGGTGGGTTCTTTACAAGTAGATGTCTCTAAAAACGATGAGCAGGGGAGTGGAAAGTGGTTTGATCAGGGCCTGGTGAATCATGGTCAAATTTCAAGATCGGGGAGTCCTTGCTGCTTTCGAAACATCCGGAGTCTGTGAGTCCCGTGAAAATCCCAGCCTTGGATCTTCCCTGGTAGGGGCGGCTTGGAACACTCCCCCCCCCCCCCCCCACGCGCCAGATTTGCAGCACCTGGCGCCGCTTCGCCGATCTGCTGCTGAGGAGCGCTTTTTTGGGCCGCGCGTTTTGTTGGGCCGCGCCCAAGGAGTTTGTGCCAAGTGTGTTAATTATATACTTGAGAACTTCGGGATGGTCATTGCATCCCAAGAGCATCAGGTTGCAGTTGCAAGGGTTCCCTTCTGGAAGCGATCTGGAACTGAAGGAAGACTCCCCCATCCTCCCCTGGTGTTGTCTGCTCTGCGCCTCCCTTCAAGACCCCAAGACCCCCACACCGCCTGTACCCGTGCGCCGTCCATCTCACAGCGCGGTTGGCCGCGTGGGCCGGGTTGGGCTTTCCTTCCCAAAAAGGAGATGGCAAGGCAACCCAACCACTCAAAGGGCACTTCCTTCTCTTTTCCGGGCTTCAACCTTTCCTGCGGAATCACCTGATTCTTCCTGACACAATGAGCTTCGACTCCAACTGTCCCCCTGGCGCCGGGCGAACGCCCCGCGGGCCGCGCGCCATGGGCCGACGGCGCTGGCGGCTTCCGCTGGCGGTGGCGGCGTTTGCGGCGGCGGCTCGGGCCTCGGTGTCAGGAGCCGGGACCTCTTGACGTCTGCTTTCAAAAGGTCGCCCAGAAGAAAGGGCTCAGAAACGGGAAGTTTGGCCCATTTGGGGGGGGCGATTGAAAGCATGAAGCTTTTTCAGGCAAAAGGAAACTATCATGTTGGGATAACGCTCAGGTGGAGAATACAAGAACACCTGTGTTGACTTTGGTAGAATCCGTTGAACCATTCTTCGATAAATCCCCCCAAACATGAATGGATTGAATTTCCCTCAGGGCAACCCCTGACTTAGTGTGGTCCTTTGGATCAATGTCTGGAACCATGGATGGAGCTGAAGCGGCTTCGGATTCAGCAGATTGTCAACCTCGGAGAGTTGCAGGTCCACATCTCTACAGCCTTCATCGCCGGCCGAGCGAACCTTGGCTACGAGGCCAAGGGTCCAAAGGGTGGTCCTTTTGACCACCAAGCCAACAGTTTTGTCATGCCTCCAAGAGAAAGCCCAGTAAACCTGCACCGTTTTTGTAGGCCGTGCATGTTTCCAAACAAAAGAGGTCTGTACAGGACTACCCTGGCCCAAACTGGCAAACAGCCGCGCCATGGCAGCTTGCTTGAGTGGACATAGTTCATTCAGGAAAAGTGCCAGTCAGAGTGCGGGCCCTGAGCCAAAACCCCGATAGTGATAAAACAAAGGCGGCGGTGCGAATCCCCCAGCCCCCTGACAGATTATGCAAAACAGTCATTTAGCTGCCCCTGAATGCTACCTCGAAACTCCGGTCACAAGTCCTCCCAGCTGTGTGGTTCCTCTTTTCAGTGAAGTCGACATTGGTGCCTAAAAACAAGAATCAAGATCCATGGGATTCAGGGCAGTTCTTAGGGACGGTCCAATAAAAAGCAGGGAGCCTGAGGCAAGCGACTCAGCGCCGTGCAGAAGGCTCAGACGCGGCCCCATGACTGCACTAAGCCGCCAAATGCCCATGCAGCGAGCAAAACGCCCAGGGAGGGGCAATGGGTGTGTCAGTTTTGCGGTGTCTAAAGGGAACCAAGATAAACACCACTATTTTGAGTGCCCCCCCCCCCAAAGACACAGCCATGTGAGGCAAAAGCGACCGAGAAGAACTGGTTTGACCAGACCAAGGCCTGAAGCGTTGGTGTTAAACGTGGGTTTTTGCTGGACCGGGAGGGCAAGCCAAGTTTCGCACTCCGTGCGACTGGACAAAAAGTGGTGACTTGAACTTGGAGCTTGGGTCACGACCCCTGAATTTGTATGCAACCCACGTCAGGGTCACGGAGACTCGTACAGTGGCCAAAGTTCTTCACGCTGTCGAAAGAGCTCCAGTGGCTCCAGGAGTTCTGGGAGGAGTTGGAGATTGGAATGCCCATAGAGGAGGACCTGGCTGCTTTGTTTTTCATGATGCTTTTGGCAGGTTGTGAGTGAGACAGTTGCAGGAGAGTCTTTTTTTTTCCCGCACCTCATCTAAGTTAGCTTCAAACACTTGGGTAAAGGCTTTTTTTGGCTCACTTTTTCGAATGAGCACCATGAACCCAGGCAGCAGGAGTCCCGTTCAGCGCGCCAACTCCATCGCTAGGATCCTGCGCCCGAAGCGAAAGCCCTGCTGAATCAGACCCAGCGGCTTGGTGAAAGGCCCTGTGGCCATGTGGCTTGCAGGGAAACTCAAAGGAAGCCAGTCAGTCATTTACAGGCTCCTTGCATCAAGCACAGCCTAGAACCCAGTTGCTGGAACGAATTAGGGCCATGCTATTTATGGCTTTTACCCAACATGGCTAAGCCTGCAAGACACACTCTTTCTTTCCAAATGAGCCCAGCCGAATTGGCCCAGCTCACACCGAGGAAGGTCGAGCGAATGACCGCGGAGCAGGCAGGGCAGCGAGTGCGCACAGTCCGATGCGTCTTCTGGCCCACGAGGAAGCTGCTTGATGTCAGGGATCCGTTTCCCCTTTTTGGACTTCCCAGAATGGCTTTTTCTTTTTTTTCCACCTTCTCCAAGAGGAGCCCTGGATATGTCTTGTTAGAGGGCGTCCCGAGTTCCCCGCATCTTGAGCATGGCACCTGTTCACTCTGGAGATATGGTCAGGAGGCGATCCTGTCAAAGAGGTCGTACATGCGGGGCAAGAGCGATCAAGCTCTCGGCGATGAGCTGAATAAGCTACAGGGCCTCTCCTATGAGTACTGGAAGATGCGTGTGTACAGGCAGCGGGAGCACTCGTTTGAATCAAGTTGAAGTGGCCAGCTGCTGTAACCTCCACGAGTTGCCCTGCAAACCCCGAACGATACCACACCCCTCAACCTCGGAGAAGTCCAAACTAAGCAGGACGAGAACGTGAGCGCTGTTTGGCCACATTTGAGGGGTAATCGTTTGATGTGATGTGGAGGTCCTGCCAGCAGGTGTGGTCTCGTGGTCCCAAGAACCTTCTCAGCTTATTTAGAAGACAAATTGACAGATCCTCTTCCGGGGGGGGGGGGTGAAGCAAGCTCACCATGTCGGTGTTTTACGTGGGGACCCAATTCGTATTACAGGTTTTGGAATCCTTGGACTGCATGCAAGACAATGCCAGGGTCTTCAGCAAGGAGTCGGTGAAGCAAGGCTTCGCGTGGCCCTTAGCAGAGGGGCATGCCCCGTCCCCCACCCCGCCACCCCCGCCATCTCTTGGAGGCTTTCTTGAACCCCCACAGCTACCCTAAATCTATTTTTGACTAGACTCATTGTTTTGCGGAATGGACGGCAGCAATGGCACATGCTCATTTTTCCGTTTCTTGAGCCACACCTGCTTTTGTTTTTATCTCAGGTGAGCTTCCTAACCTATGGAAATGCCATCTTCATCCTCATCTTTCTGCGCACCGTGGTTCCGCGCCTTCTAGTGCCGCCTGGTGCCGGAAAGTGATTGCACGATTGCGCCCCCGTGCGGAGGAAGCTCATTTCTTTTGCTTTATTGTTTTTTTGCTCTTTCTGGAAAGTTGGCCATGGAGGGAAGGCTAATGTTGAGTCACGCAAGCTCCAAGGTCAATGTTCCAACGCATAGAAAATCCGCTGTGGGATCGCCAGTGCGGAATTTCATTCCGGAGAGCTAAAACCTGAGGGTTGGTTCGCTGGACGACTTCTTCGGCTTCGCCAATGAGATCGGCGTGCCCAACCGGCAGACTCTGAACGCGGCTCGGCTGGTGGCTGGCTCGGCTGGCTGCCAGCGAGGGGGGGGGGAGGCCGAGCTTTGATTTGACAGAAAGAAGCCAAGGATGTGATCCGAAGCCTGGCGTCCTATTCGCTGCCTTTGAAAGTTGGCATTTATACCCTGGCCTTCATTGCCGAGAAGCTGACTTTGTGCCGCCCTCGGTATGACACAACATCACAACCAACGGTTTGCTCCCAGCCAGGGCGTGTTGCCCAAATGCCGAGTGTGGAACCATGTGGTTTGCCTCACGTTCCTGACAAAACAGGGAAGGGTCGAAAACACGACAACCGATTTGGAGGGTTGAACAAAAATCGGGGTTACTCCCATTCGACGGCAGGATTTCGGAGATTTTGCCGGTGCAAATCGCCCTGAAGACCATGTCCCCCGTGGTCTTCGGCGGTTTATTGCCCGGCGCCCTCATCGCCGCCACCTGCGAGACGATCGGGGCCACGGTCCCTTGAGAAGAATCCAACATCGCCCTGAGGGTCGGTGGATCGCCCTTCGGGAAAACCGGGGTATGGGTCAAAATTCAACCACTAGGGCACTGCAGATGTTAGTCCTGCAGATGTTGGTCCTTGGTTCCATTTGCCCGGGTTTCATTTTGCATACCCATTTTGAGCCACAGCTATGTGTCAACAGTATGCCCCTGTAGAATGATTGGTTCCCTGGGGATTCGAAGTCTAAAGAAGTACCCGCTAAAAACCAAAAATGTTGAAAAGAGGATGACCACGCTTGTTGTTTTGTTGGCTGATAGATTGATAGGGAAGATCCAGCTTAAGCTTTCAGTTGTGCCGAGGTGAACTTTTTCGTGGGCCGCACATTTTTCTTTCAGCGCGGCTTGGCGGATGAGGGATAATTGACTGACTGGCTGGATGGTTGGCTGGATGGCTGGCTGGCTGGCTGGCTGGCTGACGGGCTAGGCATCGCGTCTGAGGCGTGCGGGAGTTTCAATTGCCGGGTGAGCCCGTGCTTGGGGATGCTCCATGGTTTGGCAGGCGGGCAGCACGGGTACGGGCGGTCCGGGGTATCTGCGTATCTGCGAACTAACGCGCAACTTGGGCGCGTCAGGATTGGTCGGTGGTCTGTCAGTGTTCCTTGGTTGGATTCCTTAGATTTGTTGAACCACTCATAGCTTCGGCAGTTCAGACTGGTTTCTTACTAGGAGTGTCTACCTCAACCAGTTTCGCGGATACACCAACCACCCAATTGTTGTCCGCATTGGCGGAAGCTGAACCATTTTTAATTAGCAAATACGTGGGCGCGATCTTAGATCGTTTCGAGAGCAGATTTGCATCTCACAGCAACCCATCGTTTCAGGCTTGAGCGTGCTGCTGAGCAGGAGGGCCTAAAGCTGACCCTCCTGCGCCGTGGCTGCATTGCCGACAAGTCGCTGTTTTGGTGGTCGAAGAAACAAGGGAACTCCGAGCCATTTTTGGGAAGCACCCCCTCAATTCCGCCAGGTGTCTGGTTCTCTTGAGTCTTGATCTGACTGATGCTCGTAGCCGACGACGTTAGACCACTGACTAGCTGAAGGCTGCGCTTGTCGCACATCCTCCCGGTGCCCTTCGACTCGTATTGGTACATCTTGGGGGCTCTGCCGGTAGGCGCGACCGCAGATCGCGGATGCAGATGTGGGCAAGAGCCCTGATTATTTGTTGCTCTCGTTCAAGTGGCCGTGAGGCGTCCTTTCCAACCAGGGGTCTCCGCACCCAAACGCAAGGCAACGAAGTTGGGGCCTGCTTCTGACATCATGTTGCATCTTCAGGTTGGCCAAGTGTGGACCAGAATCTGAGCATGTCGCCTTTGGTGGGGCAAAAACTGCGGTAGATCCAAAACAGACAAACACTCCCAGCCATTCCTTCGCCTTTCAGCCTTTTAGTGTTTAGTGGTAGTTTCCATTTCACCCACTAAAAGTGAGTCACTTTTTTCCCTTAGCCTTTTAGCGTTTTAGTGTTTAGTGGTAGTTTCCATTTAACTTATTTAACCTTCCCAGCCATCCGGTTCCTTCGCCTTTAGCTTCTTAGTTCTACCGTTTTGTTACATGTCCCAATGCGGGGAATCCACGCGCATGTTGCGAAGGCGTCCTGGAGTTTATCGTTGCTCACTGGGTGGGCTGTTTGAAGACGGCTTTCCTGGATGCCTCCCTGGGGCTGCTGCTCTTGACGTGTCGTGGAAGGAGGTGTTTCGAGGGAACGGGGTCCCCCCCTCTTGGAGTGGCGGCTTTTTTGCCCGCAAGCTAAAGTAGCAATTAGGGAGAGGGACATTGTTCTTGGAAATGACCTCTTGGCCCTGGGCAAGGAGGGAATACTTGAAAGAAACCCAAAAGGGGTATTTGTTTGGTTCGTAACCCTTCTCAAGTCGGTGTGGGCGGGAATCAAAAGGAATGCACTTTTGATCAAAAGGAATGCACTTTTGGAGTGTCTCTTCACATGCCCGGATACGTCCTTGTTTCAAGGAGCCTACCCCATTTACAAAAAGCAACGCAGTTTGCCTTGTTTTTTCTTGGGTGTCCCCGTCAGACAACCCCACAAAGGGGAGAAGAAGACACACCCGCCCGGGACATTGGCGTTGAAGTCGGCCCAAAAGCCGGAAGCGGGGTGGTTGTGAGCAGGGGGCCATGCACAAACAGAAAGGGTACATTGAGTGTTTAAAGAAACAGGCAAACTGACCACTGTTGGGTGCCTCATCCTGGAAAACAGCGACATCCTCGCCCCGTGTTGTGCCTGAACATCCGAGCACCAAGAACGCCTGTATTTGGCGGGTGAATCTCTTCTCTTTTTTTTCTTGGTGGCGCAAGTGGAAAGGGGGGCAAGTCTTAAATCACATGGCCCAACACGTTGTGCCTTGTGGGCCATGTTTCGCATTGTTCCGTCGGCCTGGGTTTGCAAGGAGGCTCCGATGGGCTGCTTGGAAAGGCAGCGGTCGTATTGAGTACCCCCCCCTAAAGAATGCTCGGGTCCCATTGTGGTATCCCTTTCGAACGCCCAAACGAGTAGCAGGCAAGCCAGCCAGCCAGCCAGCCAGCCACCCACCCACCCACCCACCCACCCACCCACTCACCCACCCACCCACTCACCCACCAGTCAACCAACCAACCAACCAGTCAGCCAACCAACTTCACGTATTGTTATCGGGTCCGTTTGCCCCAGGCGGGGTGCCCAGGTCAGTGGTCAACTTCGAGGGCGCAGAGAAGCAGAACATCATCATCGCGGAGTCGGCGCGGGCGCCCAGTATCACAGCCAGGTGCTTGGAGCTGAGCTCTGGGCGGTTCATTTCGGGCGTAGGCCTCGGTTGTCTTCCCTGGACAACGCCGAGGTGGGCTTTGCGGTGGTGGCGCTGCTGGTGCAAACCTTTGCCACCACCCTGGTGAAGGACATCCTGGGCCTGGACGAGCCCAAGCAGCCCAAGGAGCCCAAGGCGGCTGAGCTGAAAGAGCCCAAGGCTGAGGCAAGTGGCGAGTAGCTTCGCGGACGCGAGGCGTCTCACGAGTTCACCCGAAAAGTCGCCAGCGCGCTTTTGGCGCTTGCGCGTTGTCTTTGCAGGGGGCCGGAATGTCTAAGAGGAGGGCCAAAATGTGAGTTGTCAGATGTGCGTGTTTCTTCCGTTCGGTTGCTACTATTTTTGAAGGCCTAAAACAAGAAGCAAATGCGCACCCCATTTTAGGGGCTTCATTTGAAACGGCCAGGAGCCATCGGCGCATCATGGCCAAGGCCAGTCAACGGAACGCCCTGAAGGAGAGGAGACCTGCAAACTCCGCAAAGCGCTCAGACAGCTTCGGGGGGTTTGGGCTGTCAGGATTTCGTCAGGATTGGGGTTTTCGAGAATCTGGTTGGTTGTCGACTCAAGGGGTGACACTGAGTTGGGGAGCTTTGGGTTTTCAGGCTTTGCAGGGGTAGTGGCTAGTAGAAACCTTCTTTACGCCATCTGATGTTCTTGAGGTTAGACGTGAGCCGTTCTGTGTGTGAATGGGGGGTTTGCAGGTACAGAAGAGCTTGGACTTTGAACAAGCTTTCTTACGGGCTTTGTGCGGTCTAAATTCCAATGTCTATAGCAGATCCTGTCACTCGCCGGGCCCTGCTTGTGAGTATCTCTCGAAATCAGGGACCTTTCCTCGCGTCCCTTTGAAACCAGATCCCAGTTTTGCGACTCTCAATTCTTCGGGGCTTCCTGCTGATTGTTTTTTCACACAGACCAGGTTCCTTCCAGCGAGCCATCCGTGGAACCGGAGGCGCCACTTGAACGCGACGAGTCTGACGAGTTCTCAGGGCTCACAGCATGCTCCGCAAGGAAAGCAGCTCGGACAAGGTCGGTTCGGAATGGGCATGCCTGGTCGGTATGAGTGAAACATTTTGCCCTGGGCCATGCCAAGAATTCCAACTCCCGTTCCAAAGGTTTGGCAAACCCAGACCCGGTGACAAATCCAGTCCCGAAGGCGCCCGGGCCCGGGCGGCTGGGGCCTCCGTGGCGCCATTCGAGGACTTCGGTCGGCGTCGTTTTCTCCTTTTATTCAAACCCTCCAAAGGAAAACGACCAAAAGAAAGACCCCAGGCTCGGCTGATGATGAAAAAAAACACGCCTTCTGGGAGGAGGCGGGGGATGATGAACAGGTCCCCAGGCTCGGCTTGGCATTCGCGTGTCGCCGTCACCACAGAATCCCGCAGTGATCCGTCCCTCGAGATGGGAGAACCTGTGGGCATTAGGGAAACCACACAAAAAGAAGAAATATAACGTTCACAATGAAATGGGACAAGTCATCCACAATCATTTTGTGCCAGGAATATTGATCAACCCCCGTATGCGTTTGTGCTTTTGTCGGAGGTTGCCCTGTTTGGCGTAGACTTGGGAAGTCAACAGGAAAAAGCAACATTTTGGGTGCCCTATTTTGACTCATACCCATATTCAACCTTTTGATTCGATCGTAATGATTTGAGATTTGGGCTTGGGCTGCCAGTCACTTACTTGGGCTGACGGGCGGAGCTCTTGCGAGGAGCCCTAGGGGCAGGAAGGAGAACGGTCCCAAGATCAGGCAAGAGGGGTGGCATTCGCATCAGCAATTTTGCATCTCGCCAGGGCCACTTCTAGAGAGACGAAAATGAGGAGGCCTGGGTTGTTACCTCGCGTGAAAATTTTTGGCGAAGCCCTGAGGCAAAATTCGGAGGCGCTGCTGGACACAAGCAGGACTAGTCGCTGTGCCGTCCGCACTGTTCCTTGATACAGCTGTTCGCCGAAGATTCAAAGGGTCATCGGGAAGATGTTGTTTTGGAGCAGGAGCAAATCACCGAAGTGGAAGTTCCAGCGAAGGATCCCCCGCGAATCGGAGAGGCAGGAGCAGTCTGCTCTCACTTGCCTGCCCTGACTCAAAATCAGCAAGGCAATCCGATCCGGAGGTCGACGAGAGGAGCTCCAGCGAATTCACTTGTCCTAGAATTTTTGGGAGGGGAGAGGTGTTTCTGAAGGTCACAGGATGGCCTGGTTCGGGTTGTTCTTGCCACTGTCACCTCGACACTTTAGTGGCCATTCGTTCGGGCCATGCACTGCATGCAGATGTCAGGGGAACAACTTTACTCACATCGTGTTTGGCGCAACCAGGATTGCCGAAACATCTGCGCCGCAGGGGGCCCAGCGACGCCCAGTGCTTTGCGCGCGATGCAACTGGAGCACACTTCCGAGGAGTGCATCACCAAAGTGGAAGTTTCATCGAAAGGTCACTGGCGAAGTTGACGAAGCTGATGACTCGAAGAGGCCGGGAAGTTGCGCAAGAGAGCGCGGAGGCTAGCTGAGGACGAGAGGAGAGAACAATATTTCAGCATCATTCTTTTGTACTGTCAATTTATGCGTTGGCACAGAAACTGAAGCATGAGCGCTTATGAAAGCACTCATGCTCATTTCCATGCTTCTATTTATTTTCTTTGCTACGCTGCTACGCCGCCTTTTCTTGGTTTGCTTTGATCTGTGGTGCTTTGGTTTGTGCACTTTGCAGCTCGCAGGTTTCGTTTAGCTTGCACAGTCCCTTCCGCTCGTTTGCGGAGAAAAGTTTCGCCATTGAGCCACAGGAGCAAACCACCGAAGTGGTTCCGGCGAAAGATCGCCGGAGAATCGGAGAGGCCGGAGCGGTCTGCTCGCTTTGCTCACGCTGAGTTGGACGCGCCCAGGCAATCGGATCCGGAGGTCGACGAGAGGAGCTCCTGCGATTTCACTTATCCCAATCTGTTTTCTTGTTGTTTCTTCTTTTTTTGGGGGGGCGGGGGGGGGGGTGGAGGCCATTTGTTTGGGATCTCACCATGCACTGTCAGCGGGAGCGATACAGTTGTTGTTTGAAGTTTAGCGTTGGGCTATTGACAACGGTGGGTCGCTGAAAGTGAGTGGTTCGGTTGGCCAGCTGGTTGGTCAGTGGGCGTGTTGGCGTGTTTCTTTCGTAACTTCGTAGGTACTTGGGTGGGTGGCTTGGTGGCTGGGTTGGCCAGTCGGATGGTTGGTCAGTGCCGCTCGCTTTGTCGGTCAGCAAGGGCACGGGGTGAGAGGCAACATGCCCGGCATCACAGACCAGTTTCCGCTGGTCCATCTAAGTGAACATGCTGTCCTGCATGTTTGCATTGTGGGGCTGTATCTGGATTAGGGGTGGGGTTGCAGCAGGTTGATGCCTCAGTCAGGGTGGGTTTGAGCTTGCTTTGGGGTTGCCAGCCGACATGACAACTTGAAATCAGCTCCCAGCTGCTGCTTGTGCCAGATTCAACCAACCAAGCCAAAGCCAAAGCCAAATCAAGCCCAAACCGACCTGAACTCCGCCGCAAAGCAGCCCCCGTGTTGCCCGGGAACAGGAGCAAATCACCGAAGTGGAAGTTCCAGCGGAAGATCCCCCGTGAATCGGAGAGGCAGGAGCAGTCTGCTCTCACTTGCCTGCCCTGAGTCAAAATCACCAAGGCAATCAGATCCGGAGGTCGACGAGAGGAGCTCCAGCGAATTCACTTGTCCTAGAATTTTTGGGAGGGGAGAGGTGTTTCTGAAGGTCACAGGATGGCCTGGTTGGGGTTGTTCTTGCCACAGTCACCTCGACACTTCAGTGGCCATTCGTTCGGGCCATGCACTGCATGCGAATGTCAGGGGAACAACTTTACTCACATCGTGTTTGGCGCAACCAGGATTGCCGAAGCATCTGTGCCGCAGGGGGCCCAGCGACGCCCAGTGCTCTGCGCGCGATGCAACTGGAGATCATTTTTCAGGAGCGCATCACCAAAGTGGAAGTTTCAGAGGAAAGCGAGGCTCGGTTCTCCTTAAGTTCAATTTGGCCACTTTAACCAGGTGAGGTGCCCTTTGGGTGGCATTCGAATCTTGCAGGCCCGATGAAGCTGAAAGGACCTGTGGAGAGATGTGAAGAGAAGACAAAGTTCACTCGAAGAAAGTACCTGACATGAGTTGGGGCATGTTGAATGTACGTACTTTATGGCGTTGGTACTTGGTGGTCATGCAATGAGCCAATGGGAAATGCACGTGAGAAGAATCTCTCCACCCTGTTTGCAAGGAGCCCTGCACATTCTGTTGCATGGGCTACAGGTGCACGTGCCTAAACACATGCTGCGGAACAGGCCATGCCAAGCAAAATGTTCGGGTTCCACGCTGGTTCAAACAGGAAGAGGCGCAAGACTTTCCAAGTTGGAAACGCTTTGGCGATTCTGCGCCAAGCCGGCAGGAGCTTGTCGCCCGAGTGGACAGAGCGGGGGATGCTCAGAGTCATTGAGGTGGACAAAAATGGAGGGTCCCTTTCTGGGGGCCGGTTGAATTTGATTTCGAATTGCCACAAGAATGGGATCACACGCACACACTGTTTGGACGATGTACATTCCATTGACTTGCTTCAAAGGTTGCCAAAATTAACATCTGAGGTCGCGCAAAGAGGCGCGGAAGGGACAGTTGCATATTCTCAGACTTCAGCCGGCCAGTGATTCTCAGACTTCAGCCGCCCTGTTTCTGTTGATTTTCTTTCTGGTTTGTTCCCACGTCAGCTTGGTTTTCTTGCTTTGCAGGTCTGGCTTGCCACCGTAATACAGTGATGCATGGAAGAAGCGAGTACTGGGAACATGTGCATGCATGACTCTACGACCAACCTTGCACTTGGATTCAGGTCCCGGAGCGCTATGCGCGTTTGTCTTCCAGGCTTGAGCAGAGCGGTTGTTGCACTCTTTGTAGCCTTCTCTGTAGCATGTTTTCGCTTCTTGTAGCTTGCTGTGACTTGCAAGATTGGAACATGTGAGCAGCTTGCAGTTTGTTGTGGCTATGCTTGCGTGTACCTACGCAGGAGCCCACCCGTTGGCCCGGACGAACCTCTGCGCTTGGCAGACAGAGCGGGGGATCACAGAGAGTCACCCAGGACGGATCGTCGCGAGCAGTGATGTGCACTCGGCGGCCCCAAAACATCATGCAGATCATGCAGATCATGCAGTCATGTGTACATTGCACTGCTCTGATCTGCTGACTTTGAAAGCCTAAAACCTTTGGGCCAGCAGGAGTCGCACGAAGGAGGATGACTCTGCAGTCGTCGGCAAGGGCGAGCGGTCGCGCGGGGAGGCGGGCCGGAGGGACAGTGGGATCAGCGGGATTCTGCGAGCTTGTGCGATTTGGTGTTCTTTTTCTGCCTGGATACAATACATTGCCAGTGATTTATAAGCTACATGCCCTAATTGCATCTCTGTTTTAAAGGATGTTTTGATGGCTTGCTGTTGTCTTTTTCTTGTGCAGTCTTGCTTCTTCTTCTTCTTCAACTTCTTGCTCCACGTCTTCTTCTTGTTCTTCTTCTTGTTCTGCTTCTTCTTCTTTTTTTTTTTTTTTGTTCGTTTTCTTCTTGTTCTTCTTCTTCTTCTGATTCTTCTTGTTTTGAGGAGACACCCCTCTTATGTGTTTAAAGTTTTGCCTTGGTTGGCATCAGGATGCATACACTGAAAGATCTGCTTTCATGACTCTACGTGTGCCCTTGCTTTGGATTCAGGTCCCCGAGCGCTATGCACGTTTGTCAACCAGGCTCGTCGCACTCTTTGTAGCCTTCTCTGTAGCATGTTTTCGCTTCTTGTAGCTTGCTGTGACTTGCAAGATTGGAACATGTGAGCAGCTTGCAGTTTGTTGTGGCTATGCTTGCGTGTACCTACGCAGGAGCCCACCCGTTGGCCCGGACGAACCTCTGCGCTTGGCAGACAGAGCGGGGGATCACAGAGAGTCACCCAGGACGGATCGTCGCGAGCAGTGATGTGCACTCGGCGGCCCCAAAACATCATGCAGATCATGCAGATCATGCAGTCATGTGTACATTGCACTGCTCTGATCTGCTGACTTTGAAAGCCTAAAACCTTTGGGCCAGCAGGAGTCGCACGAAGGAGGATGACTCTGCAGTCGTCGGCAAGGGCGAGCGGTCGCGCGGGGAGGCGGGCCGGAGGGACAGTGGGATCAGCGGGATTCTGCGAGCTTGTGCGATTTGGTGTTCTTATTTCTGCCTGGATACAATACACTGCCAATGATTTATAATCTACATGCCCCGATTGCATCCGATTTTTATTGTTTTGCTGGCTTGCTGTTGTCTTTTTCTTGTGCAGTGTTGCTTCTTCTTCTTCTTCAACTTCTTGCTCCACTTCTTTGTCTTGTTCTGCTTCTTCTTCTTATTCTTCTTCTTCTGATTCTTCTTGTTTTGAGGCGACACCCCTCTTATGTGTTTAAAGTTTTGCCTTGGTATGCATCAGGATGCATACACTGAAAGATCTGCTTTCATGACTCTACGTGTGCCCTTGCTTTGGATTCAGGTCCCCGAGCGCTATGCACGTTTGTCAACCAGGCTCGTCGCACTCTTTGTAGCCTTCTCTGTAGCATGTTTTCGCTTCTTGTAGCTTGCTGTGACTTGCAAGATTGGAACATGTGAGCAGCTTGCAGTTTGTTGTGGCTATGCTTGCGTGTACCTACGCAGGAGCCCACCCGTTGGCCCGGACGAACCTCTGCGCTTGGCAGACAGAGCGGGGGATCACAGAGAGTCACCCAGGACGGATCGTCGCGAGCAGTGATGTGCACTCGGCGGCCCCAAAACATCATGCAGATCATGCAGATCATGCAGTCATGTGTACATTGCACTGCTCTGATCTGCTGACTTTGAAAGCCTAAAACCTTTGGGCCAGCAGGAGTCGCACGAAGGAGGATGACTCTGCAGTCGTCGGCAAGGGCGAGCGGTCGCGCGGGGAGGCGGGCCGGAGGGACAGTGGGATCAGCGGGATTCTGCGAGCTTGTGCGATTTGGTGCTCTTATTTCTGCCTGGATACAATACACTGCCAATGATTTATAATCTACATGCCCCGATTGCATCCGATTTTTCTTGTTTTGCTGGCTTGCTGTTGTCTTTTTCTTGTGCAGTGTTGCTTCTTCTTCTTCTTCTTCAACTTCTTGCTCCACTTCTTCTTCTTCTTCTTCTTCTTGTTCTGCTTCTTCTTCTGCTCCTTCTTCTTCTTCGTTTTCTTCTTATTATTATTATTCTTGTTCTTTTGTTGTTCTTCTTGTTTTGAGGAGACACCCCCCTTATTTGTTTAATGTTTTGCCTTGGTTGGCATCAGGATGCGAAAAAGCTCTGCTTTCATGACTCTACGTATGCCCTTGCTTTGGATTCAGGTCCCTGAGCGCTATGCACGTTTGTCAACCAGGCTCGTTGCACTCTTTGTAGCCTTCTCTGTAGCATGTTTTCGCTTCTTGTAGCTTGCTGTGACTTGCAAGATTGGAACATGTGAGCAGCTTGCAGTTTGTCGTGGCTATGCTTGCGTGTACCTACGCAGGAGCCCACCCGTTGGCCCGGACGAACCTCTGCGCTTGGCAGACAGAGCGGGGGATCACAGAGAGTCACCCAGGACGGATCGTCGCGAGCAGTGATGTGCACTCGGCGGCCCCAAAACATCATGCAGATCATGCAGATCATGCAGTCATGTGTACATTGCACTGCTCTGATCTGCTGACTTTGAAAGCCTAAAACCTTTGGGCCAGCAGGAGTCGCACGAAGGAGGATGACTCTGCAGTCGTCGGCAAGGGCGAGCGGTCGCGCGGGGAGGCGGGCCGGAGGGACAGTGGGATCAGCGGGATTCTGCGAGCTTGTGCGATTTGGTGTTGAGAACTGAAATTCCTTGCCAGTGATATGTAAGCTACACATGCCGCAAATGATATCCTGTGTCTTGTGCAGTTTTGCCGACTTGCTGCCTGCTTTGGTCTTGTGTGGGCTTGCTTCTTCTTCTTTCTTTTTTTTTTTTTGTTTTTTTCTTTTTTCTTCTTGTCTTTGTTGTTCTTCTTCTTCGTCTTCTTCTACTTCTTCTTGTGGTTCTTCTTGTTTTGAGAAGATACTTTTGTTAACTTAATGTTGCCTTGGTTGGCGCCATTATGCAAACTTAGCACTTAAAAGCTGTGCCTACATGACTCTACGTATGCCCTTGCGCATGGATTCAGGTCCCCGACCGCTATGCGCGTTTGTCTTCCAGGCTTGGGCAGAGCGGTTTTTCGCCGTTGTCGCTCTCTTTGTCGCCTGTGTGGCGCTATGGTTGTGATGCATCGTGAAGTCATGTCTAGTTTTGTGTCGCTTGTAGCCTGCTCTAGCCCAAATCCATTCCGTTGAGGAGAGAGCCTGAAGACGCCGTCTCCAGCAAACCCGGGCGTGGTAAGAAGGCTGCGGCAGCCACTGAAGCCGGTAGGACAGGCAGCCGGGCGTTTTCTGACTTTTGTTTGTGCGCAACTGCTCCGCAACTGAGTAGCAGAGCTCAAGGAGTGCCGGCTCCTCTGAAGAGCCAGCGGGGGGACGAAACAGACCCGGTAACAAAGCAGTTTATGAGACTGCAGTGACACGGAGGACCCGGTCAAAGCACTGAGCAATTGGGGTGTTGGGAATGCGGCGTGAGGAGTGCTGCGCCCGGCTCGGAAGATGAGACGTTTGGAAAGGCTCCTTCATCAGCAGCAAGACAGCGGAGACTGGGCAACAAGGAAGATGGCGAGGATGCAGTGACACCCAGGACCAGATCTGGAGTCTTTGTTGTTCTTCCGGGTTGAGGGTCAGGATGTGTTTGCTCGTGTTCTTGGTTGAGACATTGCTGCGCACGCAGTGTCTTTGAGCATCCCAGGTTTGGAAATTGTCCAAGTGTCAAAGCATTGCCAGGAGCGGCACAGACTCGGATGATTCTGCAGAGGGCGCTGACCAAGATGCCGGGCGAGTTCGACCCAAGAAGGGCGCAGCTGCTGCCACTGCTGCCAGGATTGGCTTTGGCACCCTGCAGCATGCCTGATGTTGCTGTGAGCGCACTGGAAATTTGAGGTAGGCGCCTGTGCGACTTGTGTTGAGTGGCCGTTTGCGCAGGACTGCCAGCATTGAGCTTGAAGACGAGCCTTCGGCGGCTTCTGCATTTGGCCCGGCAGCGGGTCGCAGCAGACTGGGCAAGAAGGCTGCTGGGGAGGCCGCAACAGCACAGAGGACTGAAACAGTGGGATGGGCAGTGGGGCCGGAGTTTTGTGGCATGTCTAGTTAGTGTGAGGTTGTCATGGCTGTCAACATCTTCCGGTGTTGCAGCGTTCGCAGCGGTTCGCTGAGGAGTACAAAATAGCACAAACACATATATCAGATCGGAAAATATGGTTCGACCAATCCTGTGTTTTGGCTTGTTTTGCGAGTTGATCCGTTTGACTCTTTGACGACTTGCTGGATGTTGGGGCACATGAACAGACAGATTGCCGGCAGGAGCGGCGCAGACTCAGATGATTCTGCACCGGTTGCCGGCAAGGACGCTGCGGGACGATCTAGCCCCAAAAAGAGTGCAGGTGCTGCTGCTGGCAGGACGCGCTTTGGAATCCTGCAACAATCCTGGTGTCGAATGCAACAAAGTGCATTGCACCTGCAAGCTTTGAGCTTCTCTGAATATATCTTGGCCACTCTCGGAATGTGCTGTGAGGAGTACTGGGCCTGACTCGGAAGATGAGACGTCGGCGACGGCTCCATCTGCAGCTCGTGCAGCAGGGCGGCAGAGTCCGGGCAACAAGGCAGATGCCGAGGATGCAGCGAGACCAAGGACCAGATTTCTGAAAGTAGTTCGGTGCTTACTCTTGTTCTTGGCTGAATCATTGTTGCGCAGGAAGCTGTGTCCTTGGGTGTCCTTGGGCATAGATTGGAAGATGCCGAAGTCAAAACATGTTGGGCCAGGAGCGGCACAGACTCGGATGATGCTGCAGCGAGCGCTGACCAAGATGCCGGGCGAGTTCGGCCCAAGAAGGGCGCAGCTGCTGCCACTGCTGCCAGGATTGGCTTTGGCACCCTGCATGCCTGATGTTGCAGTGACTGCACTGGAAATTTGAGGTAGGCGCCTGTGCGACTTGAGTGGCCGTTTGCGCAGGACTGCCGGCCTGGAGTCTGAAGACGAGCCCTCGGCGGCTGCTGCATCTGGCCCGGCAGCGGGGCGCAGCAGACTGGGCAAGAGGGCTGCTGGGGAAACGGCAACAGCACAGAGGACTGAACCAGCGGGGTCGGCGGTGAGACCGAAATTTTGTGGCACGGCCTAGTTTGTGTGAGGTTGTCATGGTCATCTTTTTGTGCTGCAACGTTCGCAGCGAGTTCGACCGATCTTGTGTGCGTGCTTGTTTTGCGAGTTGAACCATGGATGTTGGGGCACGTGAACAGACAGATTGCTGGCAGGAGCGGCGCAGACTCGGAGGATTTTGGATTGGTTCCTTGCAAAGACGCTGCGGGACGATCTAGCCCCAAAAAGAGTGCAGGTGCTGCTGGCAGGACGGGCTTTGGAATCCTGCAACAATCCTGGTGTCGAATGCAGCAAGGTGCAGTGCGTTGCACCTGCAAGCCTTGAGCTTCTCAGAATATCTTGGCGACTCTCGGAATGTGCTGTGAGGAGTACTGGGCCTGACTCGGAAGATGAGACGTCGGCGACGGCTCCATCTGCAGCTCGTGCAGCAGGGCGGCAGAGTCCGGGCAACAAGGCAGATGCCGAGGATGCAGTGAGACCAAGGACCAGATTTGTCAAAGTAGTTCGGTGCTTACTCTTGTTCTTGGCTGAGGCATTGTTGCGCAGGAAGCTGTGTCCTTGGGTGTCCTTGGGCATAGGTTGGAAGAATGTTGGGCCAGGAGCGGCACAGACTCGGATGATGCTGCAGCGAGCGCTGACCAAGATGCCGGGCGAGTTCGGCCCAAGAAGGGCGCAGCTGCTGCCACTGCTGCCAGGATTGGCTTTGGCACCCTGCATGCCTGATGTTGCAGTGACTGCACTGGAAATTTGAGGTAGGCGCCTGTGCGACTTGAGTGGCCGTTTGCGCAGGACTGCCGGCCTGGAGTCTGAAGACGAGCCCTCGGCGGCTGCTGCATCTGGCCCGGCAGCGGGGCGCAGCAGACTGGGCAAGAAGGCTGTCGGGGAGTCCGCAGCAGCAGAGAGGACTGAACCAGCGGGGTCGGCAGTGGGGCCGGAGTTTTGTGGCATGGCCTAGTTTGTGTGAGGCTGTCATGGTTGTCAACATCTTCGGGTGTTGCAGCGTTCGCAGCGGTTCGCTGAGAAGTACAAAATAGTACAAACACATATCAGATCGAAAATATGGTTCGACCAATCGTGTGTTTTGGCTTGTTTTGCGAGTTGAACCATTTGACTCTTTGACGACTTGCTGGATGTTGGGGCACGTCACCAGACACATTGCTGGCAGGAGCCACACAGACTCGGAGGATTTTGGATTGGTTCCTTGCAAAGACGCTGCGGGACGATCTAGCCCCAAAAAGAGTGCAGGTGCTGCTGGCAGGACAGGCTTTGGAATCCTGCAACAATCCTGGTGTCGAATGCAACAAGGTGCAGTGCGTTGCACCTGCAAGCTTTGAGCTTCTCTGAATATATCTTGGCCACTCTGGGAATGTGCTGTGAGGAGCACTGGGCCTGACTCGGAAGATGAGACGTCGGCGACGGCTCCATCTGCAGCTCGTGCAGCAGCGCGGCAGAGTCCGGGCAACAAGGCAGATGGCGAGGATGCAGTGAGACCAAGGACCAGATTTCTGAAAGTAGTTCGGTGCTTACTCTTGTTCTTGGCTGAATCATTGTTGCGCAGGAAGCTGTGTCCTTGGGTGTCCTTGGGCATAGATTGGAAGATGCCGAAGTCAAAACATGTTGGGCCAGGAGCGGCACAGACTCGGATGATGCTGCAGCGAGCGCTGACCAAGATGCCGGGCGAGTTCGGCCCAAGAAGGGCGCAGCTGCTGCCACTGCTGCCAGGATTGGCTTTGGCACCCTGCATGCCTGATGTTGCAGTGACTGCACTGGAAATTTGAGGTAGGCGCCTGTGCGACTTGAGTGGCCGTTTGCGCAGGACTGCCGGCCTGGAGTCTGAAGACGAGCCCTCGGCGGCTGCTGCATCTGGCCCGGCAGCGGGGCGCAGCAGACTGGGCAAGAGGGCTGCTGGGGAAACGGCAACAGCACAGAGGACTGAACCAGCGGGGTCGGCGGTGAGACCGAAATTTTGTGGCACGGCCTAGTTTGTGTGAGGTTGTCATGGTCATCTTTTTGTGCTGCAACGTTCGCAGCGAGTTCGACCGATCTTGTGTGCGTGCTTGTTTTGCGAGTTGAAACATGGATGTTGGGGCACGTGAACAGACAGATTGCTGGCAGGAGCGGCGCAGACTCGGAGGATTCTGCGCCGGTTGCCGGCAAAGACGCTGCGGGACGATCTAGCCCCAAAAAGAGTGCAGGTGCTGCTGCTGGCAGGACGGGCTTTGGAATCCTGCAACAATCCTGGTGTCGAATGCAACAAGGTGCAGTGCGTTGCACCTGCAAGCTTTGAGCTTCTCTGAATATATCTTGGCCACTCTCGGAATGTGCTGTGAGGAGCACTGGGCCTGACTCGGAAGATGAGACGTCGGCGACGGCTCCATCTGCAGCTCGTGCAGCAGCGCGGCAGAGACCGGGCAACAAGGCAGATGCCGAGGATGCAGTGAGACCAAGGACCAGATTTGTCAAAGTAGTTCGGTGCTTACTCTTGTTCTTGGCTGAGGCATTGTTGCGCAGGAAGCTGTGTCCTTGGGTGTCCTTGGGCATAGATTGGAAGATGCCGAAGTCAAAACATGTTGGGCCAGGAGCGGCACAGACTCGGATGATGCTGCAGCGAGCGCTGACCAAGATGCCGGGCGAGTTCGGCCCAAGAAGGGCGCAGCTGCTGCCACTGCTGCCAGGATTGGCTTTGGCACCCTGCATGCCTGATGTTGCAGTGACTGCACTGGAAATTTGAGGTAGGCGCCTGTGCGACTTGAGTGGCCGTTTGCGCAGGACTGCCGGCCTGGAGTCTGAAGACGAGCCCTCGGCGGCTGCTGCATCTGGCCCGGCAGCGGGGCGCAGCAGACTGGGCAAGAGGGCTGCTGGGGAAACGGCAACAGCACAGAGGACTGAACCAGCGGGGTCGGCGGTGAGACCGAAATTTTGTGGCACGGCCTAGTTTGTGTGAGGTTGTCATGGTCATCTTTTTGTGCTGCAACGTTCGCAGCGAGTTCAACCGATCTTGTGTGCGTGCTTGTTTTGCGAGTTGAAACATGGATGTTGGGGCACGTGAACAGACAGATTGCTGGCAGGAGCGGCGCAGACTCGGAGGATTCTGCGCCGGTTGCCGGCAAAGACGCTGCGGGACGATCTAGCCCCAAAAAGAGTGCAGGTGCTGCTGGCAGGACGGGCTTTGGAATCCTGCAACAATCCTGGTGTCGAATGCAGCAAAGTGCAGTGCGTTGCACCTGCAAGCCTTGAGCTTCTCTGAATATCTTGGCCACTCTCGGAATGTGCTGTGAGGAGCACTGGGCCTGACTCGGAAGATGAGACGTCGGCGACGGCTCCATCTGCAGCTCGTGCAGCAGGGCGGCAGAGACTGGTCAACAAGGCAGATGGCGAGGATGCAGTGAGACCAAGGACCAGATGTGTCAAAGTAGTTTGGTTGTTACTCTTGTTCTTGGTTGAATCATTGTTGCGCAGGAAGCTGTGTCCTTGGGTGTCCTTGGGCATAGGTTGGAAGAATGTTGGGCCAGGAGCGGCACAGACTCGGATGATGCTGCAGCGAGCGCTGACCAAGATGCCGGGCGAGTTCGGCCCAAGAAGGGCGCAGCTGCTGCCACTGCTGCCAGGATTGGCTTTGGCACCCTGCATGCCTGATGTTGCAGTGACTGCACTGGAAATTTGAGGTAGGCGCCTGTGCGACTTGAGTGGCCGTTTGCGCAGGACTGCCGGCCTGGAGTCTGAAGACGAGCCCTCGGCGGCTGCTGCATCTGGCCCGGCAGCGGGGCGCAGCAGACTGGGCAAGAGGGCTGCTGGGGAAACGGCAACAGCACAGAGGACTGAACCAGCGGGGTCGGCGGTGAGACCGAAATTTTGTGGCACGGCCTAGTTTGTGTGAGGTTGTCATGGTCATCTTTTTGTGCTGCAACGTTCGCAGCGAGTTCGACCGATCTTGTGTGCGTGCTTGTTTTGCGAGTTGAACCATGGATGTTGGGGCACGTGAACAGACAGATTGCTGGCAGGAGTGGCGCAGACTCGGAGGATTCTGCGCCGGTTGCCGGCAAAGACGCTGCGGGACGATCTAGCCCCAAAAAGAGTGCAGGTGCTGCTGGCAGGACGGGCTTTGGAATCCTGCAACAATCCTGGTGTCGAATGCAACAAGGTGCAGTGCGTTGCACCTGCAAGCCTTGAGCTTCTCTGAATATCTTGGCCACTCTGGGAATGTGCTGTGAGGAGCACTGGGCCTGACTCGGAAGATGAGACGTCGGCGACGGCTCCATCTGCAGCTCGTGCAGCAGGGCGGCAGAGTCCGGGCAACAAGGCAGATGGCGAGGATGCAGTGAGACCAAGGACCAGATTTCTGAAAGTAGTTCGGTGCTTACTCTTGTTCTTGGCTGAATCATTGTTGCGCAGGAAGCTGTGTCCTTGGGTGTCCTTGGGCATAGATTGGAAGATGCCGAAGTCAAAACATGTTGGGCCAGGAGCGGCACAGACTCGGATGATGCTGCAGCGAGCGCTGACCAAGATGCCGGGCGAGTTCGGCCCAAGAAGGGCGCAGCTGCTGCCACTGCTGCCAGGATTGGCTTTGGCACCCTGCATGCCTGATGTTGCAGTGACTGCACTGGAAATTTGAGGTAGGCGCCTGTGCGACTTGAGTGGCCGTTTGCGCAGGACTGCCGGCCTGGAGTCTGAAGACGAGCCCTCGGCGGCTGCTGCATCTGGCCCGGCAGCGGGGCGCAGCAGACTGGGCAAGAGGGCTGCTGGGGAAACGGCAACAGCACAGAGGACTGAACCAGCGGGGTCGGCGGTGAGACCGAAATTTTGTGGCACGGCCTAGTTTGTGTGAGGTTGTCATGGTCATCTTTTTGTGCTGCAACGTTCGCAGCGAGTTCGACCGATCTTGTGTGCGTGCTTGTTTTGCGAGTTGAACCATGGATGTTGGGGCACGTGAACAGACAGATTGCTGGCAGGAGCGGCGCAGACTCGGAGGATTTTGGATTGGTTCCTTGCAAAGACGCTGCGGGACGATCTAGCCCCAAAAAGAGTGCAGGTGCTGCTGGCAGGACGGGCTTTGGAATCCTGCAACAATCCTGGTGTCGAATGCAACAAGGTGCAGTGCGTTGCACCTGCAAGCCTTGAGCTTCTCTGAATATCTTGGCGACTCTCGGAATGTGCTGTGAGGAGTACTGGGCCTGACTCGGAAGATGAGACGTCGGCGACGGCTCCATCTGCAGCTCGTGCAGCAGGGCGGCAGAGACCGGGCAACAAGGCAGATGCCGAGGATGCAGTGAGACCAAGGACCAGATTTGTCAAAGTAGTTCGGTGCTTACTCTTGTTCTTGGCTGAATCATTGTTGCGCAGGAAGCTGTGTCCTTGGGTGTCCTTGGGCATAGATTGGAAGATGCCGAAGTCAAAACATGTTGGGCCAGGAGCGGCACAGACTCGGATGATGCTGCAGCGAGCGCTGACCAAGATGCCGGGCGAGTTCGGCCCAAGAAGGGCGCAGCTGCTGCCACTGCTGCCAGGATTGGCTTTGGCACCCTGCATGCCTGATGTTGCAGTGACTGCACTGGAAATTTGAGGTAGGCGCCTGTGCGACTTGAGTGGCCGTTTGCGCAGGACTGCCGGCCTGGAGTCTGAAGACGAGCCCTCGGCGGCTGCTGCATCTGGCCCGGCAGCGGGGCGCAGCAGACTGGGCAAGAGGGCTGCTGGGGAAACGGCAACAGCACAGAGGACTGAACCAGCGGGGTCGGCGGTGAGACCGAAATTTTGTGGCACGGCCTAGTTTGTGTGAGGTTGTCATGGTCATCTTTTTGTGCTGCAACGTTCGCAGCGAGTTCGACCGATCTTGTGTGCGTGCTTGTTTTGCGAGTTGAAACATGGATGTTGGGGCACGTGAACAGACAGATTGCTGGCAGGAGCGGCGCAGACTCGGAGGATTTTGGATTGGTTCCTTGCAAAGACGCTGCGGGACGATCTAGCCCCAAAAAGAGTGCAGGTGCTGCTGGCAGGACGGGCTTTGGAATCCTGCAACAATCCTGGTGTCGAATGCAACAAGGTGCAGTGCGTTGCACCTGCAAGCCTTGAGCTTCTCGGAATGTGCTGTGAGGAGCACTGGGCCTGACTCGGAAGATGAGACGTCGGCGACGGCTCCATCTGCAGCTCGTCCAGCAGGGCGGCAGAGACTGGGCAACAAGGCAGATGGCGAGGATGCAGTGAGACCAAGGACCAGATGTGTCAAAGTAGTTTGGTTGTTACTCTTGTTCTTGGTTGAATCATTGTTGCGCAGGAAGCTGTGTCCTTGGGTGTCCTTGGGCAGGAGCGGCACAGACTCGGATGATGCTGCAGCGAGCGCTGACCAAGATGCCGGGCGAGTTCGGCCCAAGAAGGGCGCAGCTGCTGCCACTGCTGCCAGGATTGGCTTTGGCACCCTGCATGCACTGGAAATTTGAGGTAGGCGCCTGTGCGACTTGAGTGGCCGTTTGCGCAGGACTGCCGGCCTGGAGTCTGAAGACGAGCCCTCGGCGGCTGCTGCATTTGGCCCGGCAGCGGGGCGCAGCAGGCTGGGCAACAAAGCTGCTGGGGAGGTCGCAGCGACACAGAGGACTGAAACAGAGGACTTGGTCGATGTTGGGGCACGTCAGCAGACAGATCGCTGGCAGGAGTGGTGCAGACCGGGAGGATTCCGCACCAATTGCCGGCAAAGACGCTGCGGGACGATCTAGCCCCAAAAAGAGTGCAGGTGCTGCTGGCAGGACGGGCTTTGGAATCCTGCAACAATCCTGGTGTCGAATGCAACAAGGTGCAGTGTGCTACACCTGCAAGCCTTGAGCTTCTCTGAATATCTTGGCCACTCTCGGAATGTGCTGTGAGGAGCGCTGCGCCTGACTCGGAAGATGAGACGTCGGCGACGGCTCCTTCATCGGCTCGCGCAGCAAGACGGCGGAGACTGGGAAACATGGAAGATGGCGAGGATGCAGTGACACCCAGGAGCAGATTCAGAGTTGTTGCGCAATTGTAGCTGGGTGAATGTTGTTGCTTCGGAAGCAAACATGTGGAGCTGGCAGGAGCGGAGCGGACGACTCAGATGATTCTGCAGCCGGCGGCGGCAATGGGCGAGCTCGCCCGAAGAAGGGCGCGGCTGCTACTGCCACTGCTGCTGGCAGGACTGGCTTTGGTACACTACAAAAGCACGAGGTTCAGTGAAACCGATGCAAGCGAATGCAGTGAACTTCTGTTCGCGTCAGTTTGCGCAGGAGCGCAGGGCCAGAGTCTGAAGACGAAGCTTCGGCGACGGCTCCCTCATCCGCCCTGGCAGCAGGGCGAGGCAAACTCGACAAGACATCAGTGACCCAGAGGACCGCACGCAGCTCAAAAGAGATTTGACGTGAGGCAAGAAGCCAGTGTCATGGCCTAGTTTGTGAGCAATTGTTGAGATCTGGTGGCGTAGCAGCGTTGCAGAGAGCAGCAAGGGCATGCAAGCAAGTATCGGATTGGATGAAAGCTTTCAGCAGATCTTGTGTTTTTTGTTCATGTGCTGGTAGATTTAGTCATTTAGACTCTTTTTCGACGAATGCACGTTAGCGAACTGATCACTGGCAGGAGCAGCGCAGACTCGGACGATTCCGCAGCAGTTGTTGGCAAAGATGCTGCTGGCCGATCTGGCCCCAAACAAAGGGGTGCAGCTGCCACTGCTGCTGGCAGGACGGGCTTTGCAGTCCTGTGACAATCCTGACGCGTTGCATGCAATGCAGTGCAATGCACATGCAAGCCTGAAGCTTTGTCGAGTCTTGGCGAGTCTTGGAATAGAGAGGGTTGTAACCACGACAAAGAACCTGTTACAACGACAAAGGTCATTGTTACAACGACAAGTTTCAGTGAAGACTATCCCGACAAGGCTTCTACTACTATTACTATTACTATTACTACTACTACTATTACTATTACTATTATTACTACTACTACTATTGCTACTATTACTACTACTACCTTTACTACTACTACTATTACTACTATTACTACTACTACTACTACTACTACTACTATTACTATTACTACTACTACTACTACTACTACTACTACTATTACTATTACTACTATTACTACTACTACTATTACTATTACTATTACTACTACTACTATTACTACTACTATTACTACTATTACTACTACTACTATTACTATTACTACTACTACTACTACTATTACTAGTATTACTACTACTACTACTAGTACTACTACTACTATTACTACTACTACTATTACTATTATTACTATTACTACTGCTACTATTACTATTACTACTATTACTACTACTACTATTACTACTATTACTACTACTACTACTGCTATTACTAGTATTACTACTACTACTACTATTACTACTACTACTATTACTACTACTACTATTACTACTATTACTATTATTACTACTACTATTATTGCTACTATTACTACTACTACCTTTACTACTACTACTACTATTACTACTACTACTACTACTACTACTACTATTATTACTACTACTACTATTACTACTACTACTATTACTACTACTACTACTACTATTACTATTACTACTACTACTATTACTACTACTACTATTACTACTACTATTACTATCACAACTATTACTATTATTACTACTGCTACTACTACTATTACTAGTATTACTACTACTACTACTATTACTACTACTATTACTACTACTATTATTACTACTATTATTATTATTACTACTACTACTATGACTACTACTACTATTACTGCTATTATTATTACTACTACTACTATTGCTACTATTACTACTACTACTTTTATTATTATTACTACTATTACTACTATTATTATTACTACTATTATTACTACTACTACTATTACTATTACTATTATTATTACTACTACTACTATTACTATTATTACTACTACTACTATTACTACTACTATTATTACTACTACTATTATTACTACTACTATTATTATTACTATTACTACTATTATTACTACTACTATTAGATTTATTCCGTTCTATTGACCTTCTCATCCATTCTTATTCCTTTCTATTGGCCTTCTCATTCCTTCTTATTCCTTCCTATTTACTTTCTTATTCCTTCTTATTCCTTTTTATTGACCTTCTTATTCTTTTTGATTCCTTTCTAATCACCTTCTTATTCCTTCTTATTCCTTCTTATTGACCTTCTTATTGTTTCTTATTCTTTTCTATTCACATTCTTATTCATTCTTATTCCTTTCTATTGACATTCTTATTCCTTCTTATTCCTTGCTATTGACCTTCTTATTCATTCTTATTCCTTTGTAATCACCTTCTTATTCCTTCTTATTCCTTTCTATTGACCTTCTTATTCCTTCTTATTCCTTTCTACTGACCTTCTTATTCCTTCTTATTCCTTTCTATTGACCTTCTTATTCCTTTTTCTTCCTTTCTAATCACCTTCTTATTCCTTCTTATTCCTTTCTATTGACCTTCTTATTCCTTCTTTTTCCGTTCTATTGACCTTCTTATTCCTTCTTATTCCTTCTTATTCCTTTCTATTCACCTTCTTATTCCTTCTTATTCCTTTCTATTCACATTCTTATTCCTTCTTATTTTCTATTGACCTTCTTATTCCTTCTTATTCCTTCTTATTGACCTTCTCATGCCTTCTTATTCCTTTCTATTTCCCTGCTTGTCGGGATAAGCCCGCAAGAAACATGTCGCTGTAACGCTTTTTTTCTGCCGTGGTAACATTGCACCTTGTCATGGTAACAAATCGCGTTTTTGTCGTGGTTACAACCCCCTCTCCAGTCTTGAAATGCCGTGTCAGGAGCGCTGCGCCTGACTCGGAAGGTGAGACGTCGGCGACGGCTCCTTCATCGGCTCGCGCAGCCAGACAGCGGAGACTGGGAAACAAGGATGCTGGCAAGGATGCAGTGACACCCAGGAGCAGATGCTGAGTTGTTGCGCAATCGTGGCTGGGTGAATGTTGTTGCTTCCGGATTGAGGATCAGGATGTTGCGATGGTTCGATCCTGCTTCGCGTGCTTCGATGGGCATTGGTGTGCAGCAAAGAGCTTTGTCCCGGGGCATTCGAAGCACGAGCAGCTGGCAGGAGTGGAGCGGACTCGGATTCTGCAGCCGGCGGCGGCCATGCTGGGCGAGCTCGCCCGAAGAAGGGCGCGGCTGCTACTGCCACTGCT